CCTACTATGTTTGTATGTACCTACTGGATAAGGACCCTCCATCACTAGAGGGAAAAATAATGAGAGACTACAAAGAGGGGAAGGCATATAGTTATTTTGCCTTGTGAAAAAATTAGATTTAGCCCCTAAAAAAGTGTTCCTTCGGGTATCAAATGACGACGGGTGAAACCTCACAGTTGTAGAATTATTATCTGTAATGTGATTTCCAAACCATGTGACAGCAAATGGTGTATGGTGTATGTTGTAAAGGTATTGTAAAATGCATTGTTTAACAATGTATAACAATGTTTAAACCGAGATGGACGTATGGCCCTACGTGCTACCAGTGTCTGTGATATGGTGTATTAATACTGAAGCCCTAACAAAATTGTGCTTCAAAATGATCAAGAAGTGCCTCTAAAAAGTAAAAATCTTTGTTTGACCCCTTTTACCATACTCGTTTTCCCCAATAAACTGTAGTGTTATGAAAACCGTTTGGCAAACACAAAATTTGGTTTCGATTTCTAATCGTAAATATCTTGATAATCAGACAGGCGATCGGATTGTGAAAGTCATTGAGTTCCTGACTGACCTAAATTTATCATTGCAGCATGAGCTAAATCCAGGATTTTGTTTCAGAATCTGAGAGTAAGTTACCCGATCCCTTTAAATGTGTTTGCATTAAAGGTGGTACCCCCCCCCCCCCTTCTCAGCAAAAGTCCAGTGTGTAAAGTCAATACGGGCAGATCTTTTTCTTTGTTACGAGCCAGAGATTTTGGGAACACGCATGCGGTACCTCCGTTCCCATTCCTGGAGGGGGGGGGGGGGGCGGGGGTGGTTCTACTTCTTCATAAGATGTCAACTTATATGCATTGCATTAAACCTGTTGATATTGATCTAACTTGTATTCATCTCATGGTTATATTTATTTTATCAATAAAATAAAACAACACAGAGAAGGTTGTAGATGAGTACTAAGCAATCATTACTGTATGTAGGACGCCGAGTTGAAGTTATTCATGATTTATTCAAGAGAGGAAGGTCAGACAGACCTGATGTTTTAAATATTTAACGAGAGAAAAATCATAGAAACAGAGAGAGGCATCGAGAGAGATGTCGACGCTTAATGAAAGAGAAAGAGTGATAATAAGGAGAGAGGAGAGAGAAAGAGACAGAGAGGGGAGGGAGAGATAGAGAGGGAGAGCAAGAATTAGGTGTGAAGAGGAAGATCTAAGAGAACAAGAGATTAAATTTTACAAATGTACACGTTTCCATGTACCTTTACTTAATTTATATTATAATGTAAACGATATTGTGATGGTCTTTGCTTAATTTTAGTTTGCATTCTTTCCTTTAGCTTTATCTTCTAATTTACTATTCTAATTTAGTAAATGTTAGTATAAATATAATTTTGATTTCTATCTCTTCCCCTATGTCATAGCCTCCATTCTTGCTCTCCCTTCCTCATGTTAGTCCATCTCTCTTTCTCTCTCTCTGTAATGATAACCCCTCTATCAATCTTTTCTCCATCAACTCATGATATGTTCCTCCTCTTCTCCTTCTCGTTCATCATCACAATCATCATCATCATCTCAAAACTGTATTAATCAATCTATAAGACTCTTTAGATTGATCAATACAGTTCTTATAACATATGACCTTTATGTACAAACAATAAACCAAATGGTCACAATCATTTAATAAAAAGTGGTAAGAACAATTATTCCAACTCTATGGGCAACAACGTAATCTCCATTTTCTCCTCCTCGTTCAAATATTAGCTTCTTTTTCATTCTTTACTCGTGTTACTTCTCTATCTCTCTGACTATACTCACAAGAAAGTAGAATCAACGGTTTGACATGAAACAGTCTAGAAAATGAACTAAATTTATTCAAGTATCAAATGATTTTGAATTACAGACAGCTTTCTCCCACGAGATGAAAAAAATATCTCCCTAACCAGAAACTGGCAAAATAACTAAATGCCTTTCCCTCTTTGTAGTCTCTCATTCTTCCCTCTAGTGATGGAGGGTCCTTATCTACTAGGTACACACAAATGTCTCTATACATAGTAGACGACCAGCTCTGCAGTCTGCATGCCTTTCTCCCCCCCCCCCCCCCCCCGCCCCCTCTCCATCCATCGTCCAGTTTATCTCTACCTCGGATGGCGGAACAGTACCCCCAGAGTACTCGATTTCCAAGCTTGAGTCCCCTCCTTGTAGAAAGTCACGTAACACTTCTGTTGTCCATTGTGAAATGAGCTCTCTCGTAGCATCTACGTTATCTTCTGATTCATGGGTCATAGTGTTTGATGATGCTGCAACTGATAAATAAAAGGGAAAAGAAAATCAAATTTAAGTTTGTGACCAAAGAACCCTCATCACTTCTTCAACACTAGATCATGTAGCAGACGTGTATGCAGGGGGGAGGGAGTTTCGGGGGTTGAACCCCCCCCCCCCCCCCCCCCTCCTCCAATTTTGTTTAGACTATGTGTGTGTGTGTTTTTGAGGAAACCCCCCCTCACTTTTTCAATAACAAAAATAAATTAAACATTTTTTGTGCTAAAGGGTGACCCAAAAAAGGTGACCTTACCCCCCACCAACTGAACAAAATATCGGTCTCCCAAATTTCATATTTTCGGGGAAAAAAAGAAGGAAAAAAAAAGGTGCTCTTACCACCCCCGGCTTATTCACCCGCTGGCCGAGTCGTTGTGAAATTAACTGCGTGATTTTCAAATTTTACCCCCCGGCCCCCCCCCCCCTCGAAAAAATCCTCCGTACGCCTCCGTCATGTAGATCCTCAAGTAGAGATCATTGATATCAGACTATTATATTCAGATCCAGATCGAAAAAATCTATCGTTTTCATGGCCTCTTTTACTTTCTTACATTTATAATTTCTAATTGCAATCACTTTCTAGGCCTAACTGTCGGCCATTCTAGTAGACCCTATTCCATTATCAATTATAGGATCTAGAAAGTCTATTCATATTTCATGAGACATAAATCTCATATTACTGTACATTTCTACCTAAAACACGAGACGAGTGTACTTAAGCAGCTTAAAAGACAATCAGTCTACTTAAAATGCACACACATTTGAACATACGGGACTAGATCTAGGCCTACATTTACTAAAGTTGGATCTCGGCCCACTCTCATTACGTCGTATTATCAGCTTTATTAGTCATAAAAATGAATAACCACAAACTTTGGTTTTCTTACCGTACAAATGATACTGGATTGGAAGAAAATCACTGCAGAATAGCGGACTATGTTCAAGATTATGATGTTGATTCGATACGAATCCCGTTGTTTGCAACAGGACAGCTGATCACGGCGAAGGTGAAAATGGACTAGAATTATGTCCCGGCATGCTTTGCGATGAAACAACCGTGAAGGCACGTATTCAGTCGATCTACCGTAGACGTAACTTAGTAGTACATACGTACAAGGCCTGGCATGGCATGGCCGCCTGGCCTGGCTATATACGCTATTACTGCATTAAGCAGCGAGCGCGCTAGCGCCAGCGCGCGCAGTCTAGTCTAGCCTCGCGGGTATTATGTTGTTAACCCGTGGACTACTGAATTCTCTCACTCCCATAGGCTTAATACAGGGACCACCCGGTTCCAGTATGCAATGGACTTATACGAGATACTATCTCATTAAAACGAGATAACTATCTCATTAAAACGAGATACTATGTCGTTTTAACGAGATACTATCTCATTAAAACGAGATAACTATCTCGTTTTAACGAGATACTATGTCGTTTTAACGAGATACTATCTCATTAAAACGAGATACTATGTCGTTTTAACGAGATACTATCTCATTAAAACGAGATAACTATCTCGTTTTAACGAGATACTATGTCGTTTTAACGAGATACTATCTCATTAAAACGAGATACTATGTCGTTTTAACGAGATACTATCTCATTAAAACGAGATAACTATCTCGTTTTAACGAGATACTATGTCGTTTTAACGAGATACTATCTCATTAAAACGAGATACTATGTCGTTTTAACGAGATACTATCTCGTTAAAACGAGATAACTATCTCGTTTTAACGAGATAAAAATATTTTTACCATGTCCCTTCCGGGCTCCGTACCAATCTGTGCCGCAAAAAAAAATGACGCGCCGGGAACGGGAGGGAGCCGATGGCTATATTAGTCGAATATAAAATTTCTATTTTTTTCATTTTGAAAGCGAGCAACGTTTTGTCATCACCGAAATTATTATGGGCCGACGCAACCCGTGATATCTATGTACTAACATGACCAAAGATTATACAATTTCGAAACTTGGATGGGCTGCAGCACCCCCCCCCCCCCCCCCCCCACCCCCACCTCACTAACCCACAGTCGTCCAACGTCCAGTCAAAATAATGGCTGACCTAGATCATTGACCTACTAACTACAGTAGGCCTAGACTACATGTCACATCATCTGACCATGGAGATAAGAAGAGAACTCGGACCATCATGTCATGACCATTTCGCACGCCGCGCCAGGCACCAATTTTTTAGTGCAGGCAAAGACTCTAATTTGACACTTAATTACCACAATTCCTAAAAACTTGAGCTGGCCTTCTCTATCCCTGTCAATGCCTATATCGTATTTTGTCAGCCTAGTCTCATAGTGCAGACATTAATACGCGCAGCGACTGACAAAATCAAAGGGTTCCTTCAAACAGGGACCTGCATGGTGCCAATTAAACTACCTATATTTAACATAATTATTCAAATTTATGTCCTGGGGACCTAAAGCTTTAGTGACGAGGGCTTTCCTGTTATTAATGAATGAAATACAAGACCTCGGATCAACTCTGCATACATTATTGATGCTACGTCAAGCAAGCCAGTTCGGGAAAGCTTTCATGCTGTCAAAAACAACCCTTTCTTTTATAAATTCACAGCTCCCTGGTAAAATTATGTGGGCACGTGTAGTGGTGCATGTGTTGCATTATATGCCACGCCTACCTCTAGCTCCCTAGGCCCTGTTCGGAAATAACTTCCGGGCCAATCCCGGATTTCATCGCTGGGTCGCAGGTCACACCATCATCAGCCTGACGCGTGACGGACCAAGAGCAGGTAAGTGTTTCACATATCTGACTCGAAATATCTCGATATTTCTTTGTAGAATTGTTTAATATTATTCTTTGATGAATATTTGGATGATTAAAAGTTCTGTTGTTGGTTTGAGTGTGATTTTAGTCGTGAATATGAGATTTGAAAGTGTTTATTGGAGGTTTATAATCTGCAATGCAGTGAAGTGAAAGGTTGGGATCCATAATTGCAGCTCATATTCGCACGTAGGTGCATGTACAGCGGCCAGCGCCAGCGCCATAATTAAATGCGTCCCAGAAAAAACCGAGAATTATCGATGTTTTATCATAACTTCATTTAAAATAATTATTAATAAATGACACATATTTGTAAAGCTTAGATCCTCCTCTTTCATTTACTGCAACTCATATGATGCATATTGATATTCCACGCGCACGCATGAGTGATTAAAAACAATTTGAAGAAACTAGAAAGGGTTCAAAAAAGTCTTTTTCATTGCTTTGGCCTGCCAATGGGACATAGGTCTAGATCTAGAATCTAGTACCTGTAAAACAAAAGCATCAGATCAATACAAATAAGTACACCCCCCCCCCCCCAACAAAGAAAAAAATGCTAGAGAGATACTATATAGTAGATGAAATGAAGTAAAACGTTTCAAAGCAAAAATTTGCTGACAAACAAATAAATTGCAATTCTAAAAAGGTAGGGTCTATGTGCAATGTAATGTATTGTGAGGCATGATGAATACAAATTTCTGCTAAGAAAGAATAGCTCTTTCATCTACCATGGGTCTGCCTCCAAAATGACTGATAACCACTGAAATTTTTGCTATTTAAAGGGATCGTTTAACAATGTTAAATCTGAGCTACACGGTCCTAGTCCTACATGTACATGTTATCAGTGTCTGTGATATGGTGTAATACTGAAGCCCTAAAAAAAATCGCGCTTCAAAATGATCAACATGATCAAGAAGTGCCGTTCAGCGAACGGTTTTCAAAATTTGTAATTCCAATTATTAATATCTTGATAATCAGACAGGCGATCGGCTTGTAAAAGTCATGGAGTTCCTGACTGACCTAAAAGGTTTATAATTATCATTGCAGCATGAGCTAAATCAAGGATTATTTCTAAAGGATCTAAGACAAAGTTACCGGATCCCTTTAAGTACTAATGTATATATTTCTTGCGATCTTGTGGATGTGGCTGGGGTATCGGTCCCCTACAGGCACATGTTCATTAGTGGGACAATATTTAGCCCTAGTCTGCAGGCACAGACTCTGATTTGACACTTAAACACTTTTCCATAAAGTCTTGAGCAGAACCTAGCTTTATCAGCCTTTGGCAGGTCAAGTACAGAACGTATGGGGTGCACTGTTACTATGCAAACTAGTGTAGCCCCTCAACAATTCTCTTAACAACCTTCAACACTACAATGTCATCAATGAGCATGGAATTTACAGACGGAACATGATCATGTGTAGAGGCCTCTTAATATTCTTATGTAGGCGATGAAACCCATCTTCATCTCACTGTGACAGCCACTTATCAAGCACCCCCTCATTGGTGACCTTTTACTGACCTTTTATTAGACAGACTAGTGCATCAATGAATGGGTAATTAATGCTGATAGAAAAATTATACATGTGTAAATTTGAAGAATAGTGAACATACCCTCATTCAGCCTACCAGAATTCATCGTATAGCTATACAAAAAGTAATAGATTTTTTCTGAACATTAAATAAATAAACGTAAAATAAAATGTTGAATAGCGTAACACCATTATTTATAAAAAATCTAAAAAAAAGAATCAGCATCCCATTCTAGTCTGAATGTCATATAAAAATCATGTAACTGGGCGGGGCTTATCAAAAGTACACACTGATGGTCGGTCAGATGTCAACTGACCTCATCAAAACTACTTTTTTTTATATACGATATTGTTATCTTACTTATCTAGTCTGTATGCTCCTTCCGCTATGCCATTATTCTTTCATCTTCATTTCATTTTTTTCCTTCATTTCCAACCAAAAACAACTTAATAACGAATCCAATGTATACAAAACATAATAACGTACTCAATGTATACAAAACATAGTTACATTTTTAATAAACAAATCTTAATAGTAATTTATACATTTGAGGAAGACAAATATTGAATTATAAATTTAGCTGCATTTATATTTTGAAGAAATGGAGAGGTCCACTGAAAAGCAGAGCTTGTAGAGCTTCTTTATTCAAGTTTAGTATAAATTTCCTATAGTCTGAGGACGATAAAAGACTGCAGTCTGGTTCTGCATTCGATCAACTTGCAAAAGGGCTTAACAAGAAATACCAGTAATTCTGAAAGGAACGAAACTTCTTATTATCTGGACTTGCATTGGATATCTAAACTATAGATTTTCTCCTATAGGATGATTGTGTGCATCTAGAATTTCTGTCCAACTAGTTAATCTACGATCTATGATGCGTAGGAGCACAGCAGGATGTAATTACATACCCGGGTCTATGCTTTAAGGTCGAATTCCCCGCCACTCCAGACTCAAGCCAACAGAAGGCGTCTTAGATGAATGACACTCGCGAGTCTCTTCATATTTAAGTAGAGGGTAGAAGACTACCATGAACATGTGCTGGATAGATTAAAGGCAAAATGAACTCATTACACGACAAAGGTGCAGAGTTGTCTTGGCTGTCAAGTGAATATGCGATGTGGCACGTAGCCGCATCTTCATTGATAACAGAGTATTTGTAGACTGCTCAAGTTGAGTCAAACATTTGCAGAATACTGAAAAAAAGACAATATATAGCTACTAGCGTACATGTACATACATGTATGCTGAACACGATTTGTTTAGTAATTTATATATTTTAACCCATTGGAGGACATTCTTTGACACATACTCCTTTTTTAAAAATCTTTGACTACTGAATCTTTTCATGCCATAGGCTTAATACACGATCCACCCAGTTCAAGTAGACAATGGGTTAAATGATGATGACTCTTGTCACTCTTCCAAATTTGCAGGCAAGTCACCCTTACCCCGCTATTGAAAGCTGTGATTTGGTAGGATATTGCAAAAATGTAATAATTGAATGAATGAATTACAGAAACGTTTTGCTAATTTGTGTTTGGATGGTACAGTGTGCATAAAAAATGACCTAGTGATACACGGGGGCGGTGGGCGATTCGCCCCCGTGAGCTACATAATCGCCCCCGTCAGGTTGCTCACGGGGGCGATTGCAAAATAAAAAATCGCCCCCGTGGAATTATAATATAAAGATTTTCTTTTCTGGTATAACTTTAACACGATATTGAGTTTCAATTTTCAAATGAAATGGAATTTAGATTAGCGTGCAAGATTTCTCGTTCTATGAGTAGGCCTATTATTACCGATTCAGCTCACAGTGCAGTGCCGCCGTCAGCAGTGGTTATAGGCCTACTGCGCCCTTAGTAGCGGTACGTGTGCACGCTGCCGCGCTATGTCTGCTGGAGCTGGAGGCGATCGCGCAAGGGCAGAAACATGGTCATGGAGAAGTTTTTCGTTGTGAAAGCGTTAACCCGCTGAAATCTGGTGATTTCAAATGAATAGCAAATAATGAACCTCGACCAGTAAATCAATATTAGGGACCTTTAGATTTGCACGATGGGAACGTGGACTGAAACGTGTGACCTCCTTTTAAGGCAGTGTCAGTGCTTAAAAGGACGTGACATGTGACTGCCAGTGCCTTAAAAGGACGTAACACGTCCACGTCCACGCAAATCTAAAAGTCCCTATTGAGAAGAAGAGGAAGACCAAGATGTCGTGGAATGATATGGTAACATGGGCAGATCTACGGGGGGGGGGGGGGGGGGGGGGGGGGGGGGGGGGGGGGGGGGTTAGGGGTTTAACCCCCTCCTCCCACCCCGGCCCCTTGGGCTGCCAAGTGAAAATGTGATATTAAAGCGGGGGGGGGGGGGGGGGGGGGGGTGCTGGAGAGGAGGACTACTAATCTATTTTATTTTTTTCATGGGGGGGGGGGGGGGGGAGTGAAGCGCCATTTTAGCATGACTTTCTTTTTAACTCTTACTTTCACCTATCTCAGATAACCCTAAGTTTTTGGTTGCTGCTTTATATGTAGTTGATAATGCATGATTAAAGTAAAGAGAGAGAGAGAGAACCACCATCATTTTGCAATGGTTCAGGGTTCGTGTAATGTACATTTGAAACCATTTCTTAGCGTCTCAACCCTAACAAAATGGCAAAACTATTTTTGAGGAAAAGCATTATACTGAATTAAATAAAGAATAATAGCTTTATATTGCATGATACTAATACTAATACGGGCTAAAGACAATGTGGTATTTGTTTAGAGGTATTCCAAAATGACATTCTGATAATCAACATTTGTTCTGGTATCATAATGTATATACGCATAATACAACTGATCTTTATGATTTCTTAACGTGACATAGCTTCTTTTCCCCCTGCAAACAAAAAAGAAAACAAGGTTATTTAATAAAAGGATCATGCGACAAATAATCATTGTGATTCAAATTGATGCAAGGATTTTTTTTGAATAAGCAATGCTTTTCACCAGAATCTTCTTTGTAAAAACGACTTTTACAAATCTCAGCCATGCAAATCTGCCACTGTGTTGTAAGATCACTTTCAGATTAGGAGAAGTGTATTCTTTAATGAGTATTTTACATTGAATGGAACGTCTCAACTCAGTAAGCATGACTGAGATTTGTAAAAGTTGTTTTTACAAAGAAGATTCGGGTGAATAGCAGTGCTTATTCAAACAAATATTCGCATCAATTTGAATCACAATCATTATTTGTCGCTTAATCCCTTTTAATGACCTTGTTTTCTTTCTCGTTTGCAAGGGGAGAAGAAGATATGTCACGTTAAAGACATCATAAAGATCAGTGTTGTATGCGTATATATTATATACACAGGCCAGTAACAGCTATGTAGCTTGTAAATTGGTAAGAGGGAAAATGCTGATTGGAATGATAATGATGAAATAGCAAATAATTGAGGAGTATCATAGGTACCAATTCAATGGATATTTGTATAAAAAAGAGCCCCCGTCAGTACTAAAAGAGCCCCCGTGAGAAGGCTCACGGGGGCTCTTTTTTTTGGGGGGGGGGGGAAGAGCCCCCGTGGACAAAAAATTAATTTGAGCCCTGGAGACTAGATACACGTATAAACTAGAATAAACATTACATTAATTACTAGATGCCTCAAACACATTAGTCACGTGGAGTTGGCACATTACAAATAATCGATATTATTGTTATGTAAATGAATAGAAATATAAGTGGATAATTGAAGACTTTGTGCTCATGATTTTCTTCTATTTGGGGAAGGAAATTTAGAGCTGGCCAGACTTTTAATATACATACAGTAATAATAAGGAAATGAAAATGTTAAGAATTGCAAATAAAGAATTATAGAATACAGTATCAATGCTGTTACATGTACTTCAAGACTTAGTTTGCCATTGTTCATTTTTGCAAGGCACAATAGGAAGGAAATGCATGTTTATAAAAAGACTCTCTCTGGTTTAGGAAAGATATTTACTGAAAAACAGTTACTCCGTTATTTCATCATGTAACCAAGGCTTGTTCAGGTATGCTGCGGTAAACTGCTGCAAAAAAAACCACCTGTTGTCTCAGGTTTCTGCCACGTTTCTGTGTGTAAGAAAGGTGTTCTGTTTATTCACTAAGCTCTGTGTTATAAGATATAGAACTGTGAGGCATACTAAACTTTATGTGATCATTTAAAAAACACCACAGTTTACCACTTTGTATCTGCAGGCTTCATAAATATTTGATGACGATCTATGATTGGCCAATGGCCAATTTAACAATGATATTCGTGGATTTTTATTTTAGAAGGTACCCTGCAATACATAAACATGCAGAATGCCTATAGATGAGGGCCTAGTGTAAAGAGAATTTTCTTTCTAACTGAAAGTGTGTTTATGGTTCATTAGTTCTCAGTCCTTTGAAATGCACAGGGCATTTGTAATTGTGTTTGCATTAGCAAACGTGGTCTGTTTTGTTCAAACAGTCGGTGCGGTATAGCCAGATGATATGCCATGTGACGTGGCATATAAAGGCGTGTGATTTTTAAGAGACCAGTATTGATCAGATCATCTAGATATTCACATGTAGGGACCCACCTTACTGTACTATTTGTAGCTACTTGCTCCCTCTATATAGAAAACAATGCCAAATCGGTGACCATTGGTCTCCCATGATGATCTTTTTCTGATGTTAATGGAGAGGTGAGTTGAGGAGATAGCCGCCTGTCAGTGACCTTCCTGGGTGGTCTAATCCCTCCTAGCTAAACTAGTACAGATGGCCTTTAAAATTGCCATCAGAAAGGCACAACTTAGGATGATACCTCGGTCACACCGCCAGACCAACTCCACATTGACTCAAAACTGACAGATTTTTTGCCATTTAGAGTAATTTAATGCAAATCTTTGTTCAATCAGGGCCTTGTTTCGTACAACTTGTTATCAATAAGAAATGCTAAATTTCTATGACAAATTTGCTCTCAGCCAATCAAAGGACACGATTTCAGTAGCTTATAACAGTTATTGTGCGTTGTTATTGATTACAAGTTTTGTGAAACAGGGCCCTGTTATCTATCTAGTGTTGGTCTTGTTGATGCGTGACCAATAGCCCCCAAAAGTAAGCTTCTATATTCAACTCGTCAATCAAAGGATGGTCTCAAACTAAATTCTTTTCAATAAACAACAGAATTTTCAGAAGAGCATTGAAAGGTTTGAAAAATATTTGGACTTAATATGACTTTGTTAGTTAACATGTAATCATAGGCTTTTTGTTTCCATCATGATATTTCAAGAATAATTCCATCCATTTCCTTAACTGAATGTAGGGCAGGGGCATGTAAAGGAGATACAGTTGCAATCGTCTTGTTTTTGGTGAAATTGAAAACTTGAGAGATCTTTCTGTTGGAGACAATTTTTGAATGTGTTTTGATGTTATTCCCTGACTATTCATTAAAAGCTTTGTATGTTTTGATATCATGAATGATAAAAGTGTTCATTTGTAATTAATCTATTTCCGAGAGGCGCGATCGCTCAGTCGGCAGAGCAGTGGTCTCATAATCCAGTGACCCGGGTTCGAAACCAAGTCGATGCGCTAGTGCCCTTTGGTAAGGCATTAATCCTCATTTCCAGGTCCCTCAGAGAGGACCTAAAGCCGTCGGCCGTCTGGTTGCTTACTTACAAGCATTTATGCTTTCTTAGCAGTCGGGAAAAAAGAAAAAAAAAACAACCAACCACATAAATTAAACTTTTAACAGCATTTTAAAACAGATCTCAAGTCATATTTGGCTTATACTTTTCATCATTTCCAGCTCTCAAAATTATATATGGTGACGTATCTTCTCTTGTCTTTTTTTCTATTTTTCAGATCATCACTTCATCATTCTTCCATAACCCACAAACCACTACTACTCAATCACCATGGTTATTCAGGTTGGCATCAATGGGTAAGTACAAGGTCTCCTAACTTCAAAATAAAGTTGAGTTCTGGGGGGGGGGGGGGGGTGTTTCACAAAGATCCTAAGTTGAACTTATCTCTAAGTTGGACTTGAACATTAAGGAAAGTCATTTATAACCTTTAAACAAAAATGTTTTCAAAAGTGGAAGTTCATATTTTTTAGACTTTTTATATTAAATTCCACATCAAAGAACATGAAATCTCCTTGAAAATAGCAAATATGAATGGTTTAACTCAACATGTTATGCCTTTGAAAATAACTTTTACGAAATATTTCCATAGATGCTAATGGCTTTCCATAATTGTTAAGTTCAACTTCGAGATAAGTTCCAACTTAGGATCTTTGTGAAACACCCCCTGGTGTTACGATTGCATTGTGAAAGAAACTGAGTGGAAGTGATTGAAAAATTTCAGCACGTAGCACATACAGCTCACAACTAAATTATTCATACCCCTTGTAAATTTTATATTTTTCGTGTTTTTCGTAACTCAAGAATGACAGGTGGACCGCATGGTTGAATTAGAGCCCTTTGTGGAATACTTTTAGATGTAAGCTTTGATATGTCACATTCTCAAGAAACATGAATGGGAACAATTTTTTTTCTTCACAAAATCAAAAATTTACAAAACTTGAGGGTATGTATAATAATTGGTGAAATACCTTGAGGTTTTGGAGTCATCAAGCTAGATACATCCCTAGGATTCGGTTAATGCAATTATTTTCCTGGATACTTTCTAATGGAAATGATCTTCTGATCCCTGACTGTATTTCGTTTTCTTTGACAGTGTAATCCTTGACCCCATGCTTAATTTTCCATTGTACTGGTAGGCATAATTTTGTCAAGGGATAACATTGTAAGATTATTCTTATTGTATCGTAATTAAAAAGAAAAGAAACAAATACCCCCTCCTATTTGATTTGATTTGATTTTTTCTCTTAGACATTATAACTCTAGAATTCCCACGCTAAAAATATCCATTCCATCCAGCAATGCTTAGTCCAATTTTGTGTTTGCAAATTCCAATTATAGGTATGCAATTGTATGTACTTGATTTTTATGAATCCTAGCTGCTTTGATGAATCCATGTATCACTTATCTCACCGTCCCTTCTATCTATCTTTCTATCTTCTCCATATATCTCTCTTCTCTATATTTTCTTTTACATTCCTTGAAGCTGCACTCCCTTCACAATAAGTTTCTATTACATCTACAAATATGTACAATATGATAAAGTTCAAATGACCATGTAAATGAAACCAGATCATTAAAATCATTTTCATTTCCTCTCCTTAGATTTGGCCGTATCGGTCGTCTGACCTTGAGGGCAGCACTCGAGAACTCCGAGGTTCAGGTGGTGGCAGTCAATGATCCATTCATTGACCTTGAATACATGGTAAGAACGTCAAAAAAGTAGGGGAAGTATATAAGTTGATTTCAGAGTATGGAGGTCAAAGGTCATAGCTCATTAAATATGCGAATCTGGTTTCCGTTCGAAAACTTTAGTAATGTTTGACAGATTATAATGAAATTTGATATGAAGCTACATGGTATCAAAATACAGCCTAAGTTTGATTTCGGAGTATGTAGGTCAAAGGTGAAAGGTCATAGCTCATTAAATATGTGAAAATCCCTAATTATATATGCAAAAAATGTGGTTATTTCCTTGCCTAGTAATATAATAGTATAGTCTAATGGAGGGAACTTGTTCTGACGTATATAGGCCACTTGTTACCCTGTGAGGGGATGCTACGCTTTGTGTTTACTTGTTTTTCATTTCAATATTATAATGTAAAATGACTTTGTAGTTATGTTATTACTTTGTAAAGTGACCCTCTCAGGCTGAGCTGTTGGTTACTCTTTTTACATTAGCAAATTAAAATGAAATAAAGCAAATTTAGACCGTGGTTAATTTGATCTTACTGATCTAAGACTAACTCTGTATCTTTCTGTACGTTGCTTAGGTCTACATGTTCAAGTACGACTCCACACACGGACAATTCAAGGGTGATGTCAAGTGCGAATCCGGGAACTTGATTGTCAATGGAAAAAAGATCAAAGTATTCCAACAGTAAGTGGATGATTATAATAATGATAATAATAATGTTTATAAAAGCTATGAAATAGATACATTTACGTTAAGCTCATATTTATTTCTGGGAAAGTAGAAACCTACCCCATTTTGCTGAATATCACATGAACTGGACATGGAAACTGAAACCTTTTCAACGATTTCTTGTAATATTTCAACAGGAGGGCACTTGAAAAGCATTCCTTTCCGGAGGAAATTTTACAATGATCTTCCAAAGAATTAGAAAGCTCACAATAATATCTTTTTCATCTTTAAGTACGAGGACTCACTCCACCATCCATCTCTCTAATTCTTGAATAGAATGAATCCATCTGAGATTCCATGGGGTGAAAATGGAGCTGAGTACGTGGTCGAGTCCACCGGTGTATTCACAACCATCGACAAGGCCTCGGCTCATATGCGCGGTGGAGCCAAGAAGGTGGTCATCTCTGCTCCGTCGGCCGATGCACCCATGTTTGTTATGGGTGTCAACGAGGACAAGTACGAAGCAGCAAGCATGAATATTGTCAGGTTGGTTGATTTCTTTTTATTTAAATTCCAGGATTGAAAAAGTAATATTTACAAAGAAAAGTAAAACATGAATTCCAGTTATCAGTAAAATCAGAGAAAACCTGGCAATGGGTTCTCTATTTTCCAGTCAGGGAATGTGAGAAAAATCACCCGAATGAGGGGAAAATCAGAAATTTCATTGGCTCAAGAAGAAAATGGTCTTGTATAATTTGTTCTGCGTTGAAACAGTGCATTGACTAAATGATTGGCCGTGGTGGCCATTTTTAATGTGTCATCGTGCCTTGTCTAGGTTGATAAAATGTTTCTACAACTCAGAAATCAGAACTAATGGCTTAAACTGGGATCCGGTAACTTTGTCTCAGATTCTGAAACAAAATCCTGGATTTAGCTCATGCTGCAGTGATAATTATAAACCTTTAGGTCAGTCGGGAACCCCATGGCTTTTACAAGCCAATCGCTTGTCTGATTATCAAGATATTTATGATTGGAAATACAAATTTTGAAAACCGTTTGCCAAACGGTTTTAATAACACTACAGTGTATTGGGGAAAACGAGTATGGTAAAACCGGTCACTGAAAGATTTTTACTTTTTTGAGGCACTTCTTAATCATTTTGAAGCGGGATATTTTTTTTGGGGGGGGGGGGGCTTCAATATGACACCATATCACAGACACTGATAACACGTAGGGCCGTGCATCTCAGATTTAACATTGTTAAACGATGCCTTTAACATTACTGTTATGTAGATTTTAGTGATGATATATGATTATATTATTATTTGATGGTGATATTAATTAATGATAAATGTTAAATCATTATCCAGTAATGCGTCCTGCACCACCAACTGCTTGGCTCCCTTGGCAAAGGTCATCAACGATAACTTTGGCATCGAAGAAGGGCTCATGACCACCATACATGCTTACACCGCCACCCAGAAGACCGTTGATGGACCTAGCGCAAAGGTAGGCAGTACTCTTAAAGACACTCAGTAGTTAGCTCTCATGGGAAATTCAACACCGTTCTGGTGTTTACCCAATAAGAGGTGCTGCCAATCACCAGAATTAGCCTTCAGTTTTATGACCAGCAGGCCTTATGTAACGTACTGTTTTCCACCCATTCCCCTACATGGTGAAGTCATTATCTCACTTTGCCCTCACCCGGAGATCTCTGAGGGCGCGTTCATGCTTGATTTTGACGGCCAGAATCAGGCATCTGTTAAGCGTTTAGTTTAAAACACGATTGCGTTCACGCTCACTTTTGTAGAATCACCGAAAAAACGGCGATCACGATCATCGATCGTAAACTCACAAAAAGCACTGACCTCTAGTGGGTCTACGTAGCATGCACAGTGAAGGTTTGCGAATCCAGCTGGAAGACCAATTAAGGCCACACACGGAGAATTGCCTCGATGAGCCAGAGAAGTAAGCATGAACAGTACACCGTGGAACTGCGATCACGATGAGCGTTTACGATGAGCGTTACAAATCGCTCATTCTGCCTTCAAAATCAAGCATGAACGCGCCCTGAGAGAGACAAGGGGGCAAGGGAGTGTTTATCGATTGGCCTACGGGTTCGCTGTGTGCAGACCTAATACCTGTACGCACGTTAATGATTTTTATTCACCAAGTCTGGTGTCGGCGAATTATGGCCTTCTGCACATGGAAACTGACGAGTGACTCCCTTTAACATCCTAATCCTGATACGTTTCTGCGAGCAGATGGTGATGGTGGTGATGATGGTTTTGGTGATGGTGGTAATGATGATAATCATGATCATGAAAATGGTGCTGGTGAGGGGGGGGGGGGATTCTGATGAAGTTGATAATGATAAGGTTAGTGATAACTAAAATATGATACCTATTGGAGTACGTAAAGTGATGCTTAGTCCATGAAGGGAAAACAAACTTTTTCATTCCTCCACCTCTGCAGAAATGGCGTGATGGCCGTGGTGCTGCTCAGAACATCATCCCTGCATCGACCGGTGCTGCCAAGGCTGTTGGAAAGGTCATCCCAGAACTCAATGGGTAAAGAACCTAACCCCTTCCTCCCTTGCCTTGAATTTAATGTGTAATGGGGAATTTAAAGCCTGTCTGCACTAGTTTGGCCAGGAGGGATTAGACCTCCCAGCGTGGTCACTGACAGGTGGTTATCTCATCAAATCAGCTCTCAATTAACATTTTAAAAAAAGGGTTATGGGGGACCAACAGGCACCGTTAGGCATTGTTTTCTACATAGAGAAAGCAAGTAGCTACAAGTAGTGTAGTGGGGCTTTAACACCATTCAAGTATTCGCCCGAGAACGGATTTTGTCAATCACCAAAGCATGAGTTCTCATGGGGAAGTTTACACTTATCAGGTGGGTGGATCACATGGTTTGAGGTTAAACTCCCACCATGACACTGATGTCCTTTGGCAAGGCATTAATCTACATTTGCCACTCACCACCCAGGTGTTAAATGGGTACCCGGTAGGATGAAATCGTTAATGTATTTGGGTTGGCATGTGTACGCTTGTAAATTGGCACCTGGCCGGAATTCTCCTTGGGAAGGGGAGCCTGTGCACTATCAGATGCGGATAAGCAATTGAATCCAAAGACTGGGGTTGTACCACATACATTCTGAGAATTCTTAGAAGAAGAACATTTTAGTATTAAAGGTAATACAAAGTTTTAGTGTGGGGTCATGAATTTAGTTCAAATGAACATATTGGAAGCAGATATCCTACAATATTCAGTGATCGTTGTCGCGGTTGAAATCGAGTCTGAAGTTATGAAATTGTAAATAATAAACTCTTTATGTTGTTTAGCTCCCTCTCAAAGTCAAAATATTAAATAAGCTATAAAACAATGTTTCTAGACTAGAATCCATCAATTAGCTATTCCCGTTTGAAAATTATATATCACATCTACATATTCTGAGATTTTCATGGTCGCAGCTACTATTGTACGGCCTATTTTGAATTTATCCAAATTTACCGGGAGCACCGGTAAATATTTATATTCAATTTTTTCTCGAAAGCAGAAGTGTTTCAGGGGCTAAATTTTGAGTGCTTATAATAAATCTGCAGGGGCATCCATATATATCAAAATTGTAAAGAATCGCTATCCACCCAATTTTCAATATATCCCAAAACTTTGTATTACCTTTAAAGGTAAACGCCCCAATTTCAAAAAATGAAATGGAAGCTCTTATTACCAATCATGTGAAAGAATATGTTTTGAATATTACATGATGATAAAAAAATTGACGGGAAACCGCCTACTAATTGATATATTTGGTAAATTAGTGTATCTCTTGCCTGTTGAGAGATATGAAATGCACGTGCCGCGCATGTGTGTGTAGTCCCATATACACCTTTCTGTGTACAGTGCTTCTAAATTTATGAAGACTTAACCAAATTTCTTATCATTTTGATGATTCCAGAACCTTGCAGTTCATCTATGCTAGATGATCAACCTTTTCTGATCGATTTCACAACGTTTCTTTCACAATGCAATCGCATGACCATAACTAGTCTTTAGCTTTAAGTGCAATACATATGTGACTGACTTTTACTATTATGTAATCATTTATCATCTCTTAATTCTCTAGGAAACTAACCGGCATGGCCTTCCGTGTCCCCGTCCCCGACGTCTCGGTGGTTGATCTGACTGTCCGTCTGAAGAAGCCTGCTAGCTACGACACCATCAAGAAAACCGTCAAGGCTGCGTCAGAGTCTAAGGCACTCGGACGGTACCTAGGATACACAGAGGACCAGGTATATTTCCCATGTTTGAATGTTCTTGTCAAATGCTATAGAGTGATAATAATAATAATAATAATAATACATAACATTTATTAGGCGCTTAATACTGATGTTTCTAAGCGCACAGTGTTCTGATTAAGAGAAGACTATAACCCGTAGAATTAAATTAGAAGAAAAAGCAAAAATACAAAAGTAACATAGATAAGGTAAGAAAAACAGTGGCAATCAACTAAATAAAGACAAATATGGTGCGCACCTCCATTGACCGACGCACAACTGCAATTTACAATTTGAAAAGATAGGTTTTGAGTAGAGATTTGAATTGAGATACAGAGGGGGCGCAGTGAATAAAGGCGGGCAGTTTGTTCCAGAGAGCGGGGGCAATAACTGAAAAGGCGCGGTCACCATACCGGGTGTTAGTGCGGGGTACAGGTGTTAACGGTAATGTGGAAGATGAACGAAGTGTTCGTGACGACGTACGGGAACGTAAGGATATGAGATCGGAAAGGTAAGAGGGGGCTAAGCCATTGATAGCTTTGTAGCACAGGAGAAGAATTTTGAAGGATATGCGGTGGTGAATTTTAAGCCAATGTAGTGAGTTCAATATTGGAGTTATGTGCTTTGATTTACGCGAGAGAGTCACAAGCCGAGCAGCGCTATTCTGTACCCTTTGAAGTGGGACTAGATGTGACTGAGGGAGGCCAGAAAGAGAAGAATTACAGTAATCGATATGGGTCGAGACAAAAGCATGGACTAATTTTGAAGTTGTGGGTCGGTCAAGTAGCCTCCTGATTCTACTGATCTTATATATACCAAAGGAAGCAGACTTACAAATATTACTAATGTGTTGTTTGAAAGTAAGATTGCTGTCAATGAAGTGTGACGTCATCATGGTTAGGAGCCAGAGCATATATAACACTTGAGTTCCTATGGGTAGTATATTTATTCAGATGGTCATATCTCGACCAATACATAACATATTCAATTGGTTTTTGACATTTGGACATTATTTTTGATGCTCTTTCGGAAAATGAAGAAAAAAAAGAGAAGTTCTAAAAATAGATTTTTATGACGTCACAGCTTCGGTACTCTATTGCAAATTCTTCCAAAACTGGTGTGCGCCTGGGGGGTGTTTCACAAAACTTGTCACCAGTGACAAATGACAGTTTTTGTAATAAGCTACTGAAAATCCTTGCTTCTGATTGGTTATCAGCAGATTTGTCACTGATTTCTGTTATTTGTCACTGAAAAAAGGCTTCGTGAAACGGAACCCAGGACTTGATTGTTAACTTGCGAGTAATCTGCAATATTAAGTCATTACCATGGAGTATTCGAAGCATCTGGAGCCTACCACGTATTGCATGATCCTTTTAGAAGCGCGTTTTTGAAAGATATTGCAAATATATTCGTTAAGTAAATTTAATCATAAAATGTTGTAATTGAGGTTTATAATGATTAAAAAAATGAAATCACAATAGAGTGGTGAAGTGTGACGTCATCAAAAATCTATTTTCAGAATTTCTCAAATTTTTCTCCATTTTCAGAAAGAATAAAAAATAATATCTGAATGTCGAAAACCAGTTGAAAATGTTAAGTATTGAATGAGATATGACCACCTCAATAAATAGATTTTCTATAGGAACTCAGTGTTATATTGCTCTGGTTCATAACATGTTGGAAAATTAAGAAAAAATTGAGAAATTCTTAAAAAAATAGATTTGTATGATGTCACAGTTTCGGTACTCTATTGTGGGATTTGTTGGCCTTTTAAACATGGACAGTAGGGGGTGTCATGATCTGGCCAACACTGGGGTCTATCAGCAAGATATTGAAGTACACTCTTTATCTCCACCCAGGTATTAAATAGGAAGCGGTATTTAGGAATTGCTTGAATGGTATGAGCAGTAGCCTAGTTAGAGCCGAAACTAATACAGTGAAACCTGTCTATAAGGACCGTCCAAGGGAGACAAGAAAAGTGGTCTTTATAGGCAGGGGGTCTTTATGTACAGGTTCCTTTAGTACATGTTTCAATGAGAAACCATTTTTCAAGGGAAACAAAAAAATGTGGTCTTTGTAGACAGGTGGTCTTTCTATGCAGGTGGTCACTAAAGCAGGTTTGACTGTACATGTATTAAAGCGCCTAGAGCTTGGTGCATGGTGGATCCAAGCACTATAAGTATATTAATCATTATTATATAATGTTATTCCGCCCACAGGTTGTCTCTCAAGATTTCCGTGGAGACATGCACTCCAGCATATTTGATGCTGGTGCCGGTATCGCCCTCAATGACAACTTTGTAAAACTAGTAACATGGTAAGTCCACAGAGTTGGTTACTTTGTATGAAATAGTGATAACTTCTGTGTCCTTTAATTTTATAAATCAGGCCTGATAATTACCTGATTTAAATAGGTTTTCAGATTTTTAATTTTTTTTTCCTGATTTTTGTTTTCTTCTCGATTGCTCAAGTCTTACGTAGAACTTAATACTTCTTTTTCTTAAATGAACTATCACCAAAAATAAATCCTGTAGATTTGAAACCACGCCCCTTTAAAAAGACCAATGTCAAGATTGGTGAGAGAAACCAGTGGCATAACAGCCTGCCATAGGTCAAGTTCAACTTTAAAGGTCAATCTTAGTCTTTATGAATCACCCCCCCCCCCCCCCTCCTCTACCCCACTCTCCAGAGCATGTAATGTGCCGCCTATGCTGTGAGCGTCGAAATCGGCAGCCTGACATAGCTGGGTAATGTTGGAGCGCCTTGAGGACCTTTGCAAGGTCGATACGTGCGCTATATAAGAATTATTATTATTATTATAAGATTCGGACCTGCCTTGTCATGTTGTCTTTCCTTTTTGTTTGCTTGTTTGTTTACCTAGGTACGACAACGAGTACGGTTACAGTTTCCGCGTTATCGACCTCATCTTGTTCATGGCCTCCAAATCATCATGAGCGGACGTTCCACTCATCTCAAACCTATAATCAAATGACTTCGCAGTGTTTAAACCTTCCTAATTCACCCACTCACAAATATATCAAAGTGTCTGTAAAGCTCTGTCATCATGCACATAACGTAACGTAATGTAAAACAGATCAAGCAATATGTGTATTGAGTATGGACAAGGTGTTTTTGTGCTACCCTCTCGCTTGATGTAGAATTATTATGGCTCTTCCAATACGACAATGTATGACATTAAGCAAGGTTTAGATTTTTACAAATTCATATTCTTGGATACGTTTTGGTGCAAAGCATCAAAAATTGAAAGTATAATATTTAAATTAGGGTCTGTGGGATCGTTAGAATCTCTAAACCACTATTGGGTTGTCATACATATACTGCCAAATTCATCTTGTGCTTGTCTTGTGTTACAGTGGTTTTACAGCAATCCTTGCATTATATTCAGAACCTTGGCGAGATTGATGTGTAGATTTTCCATATATGATGTGGGTAGCTGCATTTCGTATTACTTAATCTCGGAACAGCAGTTGCCATCGATCTTCATAGAAGTTTGTGGATATTTTTAAGAATGATGGAATATAAGTATTCTCCCTCACGCAGATGGACGTTCAAAAGTACAGTGACTATTTTAAGTTGAACAGTGCTAGTGATATTGCAGCTTTTTAAAGGAGCTTTTTTTTTCATGTACTATCTTAATTCACAGGACGAGAAAAAAAAATCAAACAAATCACATACTCGTGAAGATTCTTATATACTATCATGTCAAACAGTGCTAGTGCTAATTTCTTCAAAAGAAAATGTATGTTAAATTCAAATTCACAGGAACTGTTAAAATCAAAGACTTTTTGTTAACATGTCAAGTTTCGAATTGTACTCTTTCACTGGCTCCAGGAGTCGGGCAGTCACGACTGCTTTAAATTAAAAACTTTATCCATAGATGATATGTTTCATTACGCTGAATTTTATAGTTGGTTTCATCATTATCAATCAGGGTTGTAGATTTTTCTTTCAAACGTTGGACATTTTGACATTTTTGTAGAGGGTTGGATTTGTTGATGTGCAGTATTTCCTTCAGATTTTTGTCCCCCTTTGGAAAGTGTCGTTTGTGTGAGCCTCCAAGTGAATGTGATATGATAAACCTCAATAAAAACAGAAGTATTTAGAAAGAATCCATTGTTTTATTCTTGAGATATCTTGGACTTGATTCAGATTGGGATGACTGGTGACAAGAGAGACAATGAGTGAGAATGTAGGAGGGGTTCAAGACGCCAGAAGGGTATTAACTCGAGAGCTAATGCCCTTTTGGCTCTGAATATACAGATACATGATTGCATATATGAAAAAGAAATGCGTTAGGCCATTTATAAAAATATACATGTTTAGCGTCCCCGCCGCTTCCTCTTTGGGGGCAACCTCGTATTTTTTTGTGTGGAAATTTTGTTTATATTTTAAAAAAATGAAGAAAAAAATGAAAAACATGGCTGAAATCTATTTTTCAATAAAGCAGGACGCTAAACATGTTTTTTAAATAAATTTGGCCATGCGCTGTTGTTTGGGCGAATAGATCAAGAAAGCATTTACAAATGTGAAAGAGAATGTAGTGAATAGCGATTAAAAAAGAGAGACAGAATATATTGAATGTAAAGGGGGAGAGAGAGAAAATATTGAGTGGAGAGAATCATATAAATAAAAAGTAAAGAACTATAGAACATTTATTGATTCAGATGGTCATATCTCAGCCAATCCTTAACATATTCAATTATTTTTTGATGTTTGGACATTATTTTTGATGCTCTTTCCGAAAATTAAGAAAAATTGAGAAATTCTAAAAATAGATTTTTGATGAAGTCACACTTCACCACTCTATAGGCCCTACAAGTAAAAGGAGATAGTCTTTATTATTCAGACTTGATGATATCCTTGGCACTTGCAAGCCAGGATTACATAAACTGCTCAACTTAATACAAGTAATTAAAGGTGGTTTCTGATGTAATTTTATTAATTGGCATTATCACAGAGTAGATATACAAATGTTTCTTCATTCAATACGGTCTGCCAGGATATAAAGGCATTGCAGGTTTAACAAATTTGTAATACTGACTAATGAATAGACACAGACAAGGTATACAGGAAATCAAATCAAGCTTTGATAATTCACCACACACTAAAATCTACCTAAAGATAAAACTGTCTTCTTTCACTAAAAGACTTGTAGTTTCTTAAAGTAGACAATCAAAGAAAATCACAAATATACCCAATGATGATCACTAGAAACCAGGAAGCTTACGGATGACAATCGTATAAGTTTTCATCAACTGTGTAATGGATAAGAAGTAAAATTAACATAAGTAAAGGCACTTCTCGGGATCTGGGATATACAAGCGCTACAAGCTCCCAACATCCTAAAACGAATGAAAATATTTTCAGTGCATTTATTGTTCAATAACAAGAGTTTGATTAATTTAAAACAACAATGTATTGCACACCATTTTAAAAGGGAAGTGATGCTGATACAGATACTGATAACTATTATCCTTTGTTTACAAACATTCAAGGCAAGGATAAATGAAATACCAGCCCACTTTTAAATTCTGTGCAAGCCCCATTCTATATGACTGCCTATGCGTGCTAGTCCACTCGACTAGATGTTTTTCCTGTTCACTTAAAAGGCATTTAAATAGCAATATCTCTGTGTAGAAATAATACGTAAAGCTCATATTTGAATTCAGTATAGCCACATGGAACCTGTGACATCAAGAGCAAAACATGTTTTGGTGTAAGTACACTTTAATGTATTTAAATAGAAATATCTCTTTTTAGAAATAATATTTGAAGCTCATATTTTGAATACAGTATAGCCACATGGAACCTCTTTAATACATCAAGAGCAAAACATGTTTTGATGTTTGTTACCAAAGTCCTGCAACAGCTTCTTTTCAAGAGTTCCAGTCAACCATTCTTTGAACTCTTTTTGGACCATCTGATGATTGCACCTACCCTCGCCCCTGCTGCCTTGATGGCATTGATGCCCACGGTGAAAGGCGTCATGGCGGACACCAACCTCTCCTTCAACCCATCCTTCACCTCTCGGGCTCTCTCGTTCATTCTCTCCCTTCTCTTCAAGAGTTCCAGTCAACCATTCTTTGAACTCTTTTTGGGCCATCTGATGACTGCACCTACCCTCGCCCCTGCTGCCTTGATCGCATTAATGCCCACGGTGATAGGCGTCATGGTGGACACCAACCTCTCCTTCAACCCGTCCCTCACCTCCTGAGCTCTCTCGTTCATTCTCTCCCTGAGAGGGGGCTTGGCCCAGATCCCCTTGGCCTTCTTCTCAGCGTGGAGCTCTGCCTTGGACAGTCTTTGGATCAGTCGAACGGTTGTTGGGTGGAGCGCGACTGACGGATGAGCTGGTTTAACGCGAGCAAACCCTTGCCTCACTAAGGACTCGTTCACCATAAGTGAAGATGCAAAGTTCTATCAAGTTTGGTGAAATACAAAGAGAGTAGGGAGAACAGGAATAATACATGACAACAACAAAAACTACAGTAAATCATAACATAAACAATTAATAATACAGTCAAACCTGTCTACAGCGACCGCCCAAGGGAAACAAAAAATGTGCTTGATGTAGACAGGTGGTCACTAAAGCAGGTTTGACTGTAGCTATAATCATACTGCACACATATTCATCCGAAGGGATACTCAAGGTCCTAAGAATACTACTATTACCCTTCACTTCAGCCAAGTGTCTCAGTTTCTCTAAGGTACTGAAAGCAATCAAGAAATCACTTTGAATCATGCATTACACCTGGGTGGAGACTGGCAAATGTAAATTAATGTCTTGATGTCTAGATTTTCGCAAATTACCAACCTGCTTCTTAAATATGGTAGCATAGTGCAGGACTAGACACTAACAGGCACCTAGGAAACATAGGTACTCAAAATCTAATTCCAGACCCCTAAACTTTCAAAACATGATTAAATGGCTCATGCAAACAGACCCAAAAAGTTTAAATCTGAACCCCTGCCAACAAAAATTTAGCAAGAGCACTGCTTAAATAGAGCAATACCTTTCTCCTAGTGACGATGCATTCCAGTTGCTGTGCCTCGTTCACAGCAAGTAGTCTAAACCTGATCAAGGAGTCAACAGGAGTCATGTTGACTAGGTGAGTCAAGCCACCCTCAGAAACATGGACTCCTGCCAGACACACAGGTAGCAAGGAGTCTGAATGCAGAAGGAGACATCCAAAATGAGAGATATAGATTTCTCTGATTTTTTTTTTTTTTTTTTTTTTTTTTGGAGTGGGGGGGGGGGGGGGGGTTCTCAGTACAAGAAAAACACACAATGTTAGATATTGTCAGGGTTAGTGGGATTGCAAAAGAACAACTGAGATTTTAAAATGAATAAGATACAATCATTAGAATAGTATTTTTAGTGGCAAAAAAAAAGAGCGGCAAATGTGGGTGAATGTCTTCCAAAGGATGCTATAGTGCTGGGCTGGGATTTGAACCCGCAACCCTTGGATTGAGAGTCAAGTGAATAACCACCAAACCACAACACCACAATGACCTTTACTTGGTTTGGTTTTATTTTCTGTATAAAAATTCAAATACATACAAGAATACAATTTACAAATATAATACAAATCAAGAATTAAAAACGGCTGGAAATCTATATTCAGAGCCATTTCTTTTGAAAATTGACTGCAATACAGAATCATTTGTACCCACCTCTTTGTCCTTTCTTCATTCCCTTCATTCCTCGGATGATAGGAAGATGTTCTACCAAGAGGTGGTGATCCTGGTGACCTCTGACCTTTCCTCTCAGGGTCATCTGCTTTCGGATGAATTCTTCTGGTATGTCAGATACAGCACGGAAAGTTTTCATCTAACAAAAGTGAAAAGAAACTTGCATTAGGGTATTTGATGATTACTGAAATTAATCTATTCTCAAGACAACTCGGGGATTAAAACAGGGTGGACTTCTGTCTAGTTTTAATGTACAGAAATGTATACCAGTATATGTTTGAGTTAACTATTACTTTGGGGTATATATTTCAATATATTTCAATATTAGCACAAAATGAAGAAATAAAAATTAAATATTTGATTATTAATTTATTGTCATAGATTATGAAATATTGAATGAGGCCAACCATGACAAGCTTTTTTCAAAAAGAATTGGCTCCATTTACAAAATGTATACTGGTAGTTATTGTCATGCTGAAATTCAATATATCTTGATCATTGATCATCTGTATACTGTATAAAAAAAACTATACCTACCACTCGAATGCTTCTGCCAATAATTACAATGCCAGTCACCCCAAGCAGAGCTACACAAATCTGTAATCGGGTCAAATAAAAAGAGGAAGAAAATTATTGAAAGCCATAGTCAAAAGCATAACAGGGCAAGCATGAATTGAACTAAAAGATATCATATTATTTTGTGTTTTGTTAAAGAGCTACAGCAGGTACTTCATAGTCATGTTGTCAATAATTTTTTTTTATCTGCTGTTTCTTCTCACAAAGCCCAATCTTGCCGAACCATTTGCTTGTTGCGGTGGCCTAAAGAGTTCAGTTTATCGCCAAAAGTAATGTGGGTACTTACTCTAAGAGCTTGTAAATGACGATCTAGGAAGTCTGTCACTTGTCCAAAGATATTTATTGGCTGGGGGGATATCAAGTCGTCCGTTTTCATGGCTACCCGGGGAGGACATGGTGTCTGTGGTTGTGTTACTATCGGCGAGGTGGGTGATTGTGATGATGAAGTTGAAGGCAGAGATGATGAGGATGGTAAAGAGGATTCTTTTGATGCAATGAGAGACGAGGGTGAATTCCCTGATGCCATTTCTCCATCGATTATGAATCCTCCTACAAAATCAAACTGGAAAAAAAAGTTGTGAACAGTAAGGCACTGAATACACTTGATAACAAATGATCAATATGCACTTGTGAAACAAACAAACAAAATATTATAAAAAGATCACATAAAAACATCTGCACTATAAACAAACTAACAAAGGAACAGGAGTAAGATAAAGGCATAGAGTAAAGGAGCCGGTTTTCGGCCACTTAAGACAAAATCCTATTTTTTGGACCCTAAACTTCCTATTTATTATCATTTTTTGTTCAAATCATGAAGCAAATATTATCATTATTTAAACAAAACAAGAATCCCAGAAAAAAATCACGAATTGCCATGACAATATTCATTTCAATTTTCACTGTTTCGGAGTCAGTTTTCGGCATAGCGTACCAGTTTTCGGCCGCATGTACAAAGTCAATAGGAAGCGCGCGCACGCGCCGTGTGCGTTTCCGCGCTGATCTATAGCACTAGCGGGCGGAGCAGATATCCCACGCCGGAGCTCCCGGGAGCTCGCCAGGCCGAAAACTAGTACTGCGGTGATCGGATATTGGAATCTGAATTAGACAGAGATATCATGTGTGCGTTGCGGTGTGCGGCTGCATTGATTTAATACATGCGATGAGATACTTTTGAGCTTGCGACTAGCACAAAATCGGGCTCTAAATCTGAAAAATACTTGAAATAAAGCTCATTTTATGGTACCCATATTTCTTACAGACACACGTAAGATACTCGATTTTTCAGATTCGGGTAGCGGGACCGCAGATTACATCGCTAAAATGTGGATATATTTTTCATTGCAAATGTGGTTCTTCAGTGACACTGGCATTGTATAGTATGTGTGGGATATGTGTTATGCTATTATGCGATGTATTTTAGAGGGATTTTACCTTGTATCCAACCAATCGGCCGAAAACTGGAGCTGGCCGATTACCGGCTCCTTTACTCTAGTGATTTACTCCTAAAAAATGAATCAAAGTGAAAGAAAATGATACTGTAATGTAGGAATTAATGTACTGGGCTTATATTAAAATAGTGCCACATGCAAGTAAGGTTCAGTCTAGACAAGTCAAGGTTATGATATAACCAATTTATTCAATAACCACTCCAGCAACGCATATAGTGGTCATCAATGCTCATGTGCATTGTGCATCTAGATCAAGATCGGTAAGAAATAGAATTACACAATTATCACTATACGGGACTGAATTGGAAAAAGTAGTATTTTTTTAAACCAAAACCACCCTTAGTAGCTTTTTAGTGATAAAAGACAAGTTTTCAATATTCTTACCGTAACTCTGGGTCTGATTTTGACAGTTTTTCCTTCTCACGAACTTCCATTGAATCTCTAGGCCAAAGTACGGCACGACTTTTGCGGCAATTAGATGTTACCAGACGACCCAAAAATCATAGATTGACTCTCTATGCTTTGCTGGAGTGAGATCAACCAGTTCAACTTTAATATACCGCGCGCGCCGTACCTGGATCAACCTTCCGATCTCCGCCCTCTCGCGAAGCTAGATTCGCTGATTCGCTGCTAAATATTTTCTCACTAATTTTTTTTTTTTTTGGGGGGGGGGGGGGGGGGGGAAAGAAAAAAAGTCCTAAAAAAATGCTCGTGAATCAGTGAGCACTATTTATTTATTTATTTTTTTTTTTTTTGGTGGTGGGGGGGGGGGGGGGCCCTCAGAAATATGAAAAATCGCACCCCCTTCCCCCTTGAGCGCCAGGGGAGGGGGCCCATCTCGAGAAGAAAAATAGGGTAAAATTAACGTGTTTTACACGTTCCCAACCCCTGGATCTGCCAATGAGTAAAGGAAAATATGTAACTTACTTGAGACGTACGCGTTCGCTCGCATTAATTCAATTTGAAATACGCCATTCAGACTGGTTCTAAATCAAAATAGAGACAAAACGAAAATCTCACCCCACAATTAATTAGCCAACAGGAGTCCGGAGGAACAAACAGCCGACACCAATAGATTGTGAAAATTAGATTTTATTTCCATATATACAGTTTAGGTACAAAATGTAATGTCTCTTGTCAAAAAATACAGCAAAATATTGATATCGATGCTTTCTAGCATACACAAGAACAAACAATTCTCTGTTTTTCATCTTGTATTATAAAGAGATATAGATGTAAAAAATAAAGAAGAGAGAAGGTAAATAAGGGTGTGCCTTTGCAAAATACATATAAGTGAAATATATATATTCGGCTTTACAGTTCTCGCCATTGTTTATTTCTCTTGTAATATTTTGTTTAACCAAAACTCTTTATTATTGCATAACTTTGCCAACGCCCCTCCGGTTCGATGTAGAAATCCGCTTTATTTATGCGTGATTTGGAATTCAGTGTTCTTTGTTACGTAATTAATAATGTATCAAGTTTATGCTGATATTGAAACAGAAATATATCGAAGATTTGTTTGGCGTCCTGTAAATGAAGCATAGGCCTAATATTGGTCAGAGTACCTGGAAAATGCATTACAAACAGATGACTTTGAACTTCTATAAACAATAATCACACTGCATAACCGAATCCGAACAGATTCCAAATTAAACTCTTTGTTTTTTTCTGATTAATTTTGAGATAATGTAATATTTGATTCGGTCTGTTTCCGGCCTGGTACCGGGTGTTGCATGTGACATGAATTAGGTATTATACATTGAATATACATAATCTAGATTGACATGGCAAATTACATCATATGAACAAACACTTCATTTTTTTCTTCAACAAACAAAAACACGATCACAAGACTTTCGAAGAACTAACTCAAGGGAAATTCAATACCCTATTGTTTTTCCTTTTGAATTCATGCTTGGATTACGTAATTGGTCTTTACAACGTTCGCACATTTCAAAAGTTCGCAGAGAGCTTTTGAATTTTCCTTACGTTTTTTTTTTTAAAGTCTTTATGATCGCCTTAACACCACAGTTCATTGATTACTGGAAGATCAAGGCAATTATAATCCTAATCAATTAAGGCACTCAACACACAAAGGCAATTTGCATATTTTAAAACATTTTATCAAAATAAGTTTGGAATGATTTATACATTCATAAATACAAACATAAGCCTAATTAATTAAGGCACTCAACACACAAGGCAATCATTTGCATATTTTAAGCCAATTTATCAAAATAGATTAGGAATGATTTAAAGTTTTATACATTCATCAATACGATTTAGAACTTTTGAATACATGTACGGGAATGTCGAGAAACAAAAATCAACAATCGTTCAATACCAAATTCTTTAAAAGTACTCAACTGTGTAATAATCATCACTTAAACTGTACAAATTTGTTAACTTCGTCGAAGTATCCGCATACGTAATAATATAAACATCTCATATGCTATATTCTTACGTTCTATACGGAAACAAATATTGTCGATAAAATCATAAAATACAAACATGAAAAAGGAACGTAAGATTTACGCATGAATTTATGGACAATAAGCAGAAAGTTGTTAATGTTTCTTCTTTCCACAAGATCTCTTTGCATTTTTCAAAAGTTATACAGGAAAATCACTTATCGTAAAATTTCGAGGCAAAAGGATTCCTTTGATAATTTTTATTTTGTAGTTCCTAGTATACAAAATATACAAATGTAATATCAATATAATCAATATAATATTGATTAAAATATTCAGATTCAGACGCTTATCACTAATGTCAACTATACGCAGAAATTGGCCTCCATTTTCACAACAAATAATTTACATAATAAATACTGAGGCAAGGTGAAGATAAATAAAAATGTTTTCTGTCCGTTACTAAAGAATATCCATATATTTAATTTCAAAAAGCGACAATTATAATTTTAAATAATTCGATTGCGAATATATATTTTGGAGCACGCTTCAAGGCTTTCACTATACGGTTAGTTAAAGTCGCGTCGCGTTAGCCAAATTAAGCTGCATTTTTTGTATGGTGTCCTCAAGTGCATTATTACAGAAGAACACTTGAAACCTTGAATTCAACTTTTAATTAAAGGTGCTCTTTAGGGCCCTGTTTTATTAAAACTTGTTATCAATAACATGTTACAATAACTGCCATAAGCTACCGAAATCGTTGCATTTGATTGAGTGAGAGCAAGTTTGTCACAGAAATGTGACACTTGTTATTGAAAACAATTTGAAACGGGGCAAGGCAGATTTTGCCCCACTCTTCTACCCTTGAATTAACACGTGTTATACCATTACAAGCAAGACAGTCCGGCTGCTAACGTATAGACAGCTTTTAAAAAGCAATTCTTGTTTAATTACCTTCAACGAATTTGAAATACTTTAATTTCCAAATATCAAAGAACTGCATTGATGAGATTGGCGGTAGCACTGCCCTTGTTCTCGTTACCCAGGTTCATCATTTGAACAAATTCTGGAAAAAATAGAATAAAGGAAAGACATAAGTTCATTAAATTCAATGAAACCTGTCTGTACGAAATAGCATGCAGTCGTAATATCTCCGAAAGCGTTTTGAGGAGTTAATGACATGCCCTGTGTTCCGGACTTTGAGTTGCCCTACGAAAAGGTATTCTATATTCATATTCAATAATGTACCGTCACCGTCGATTTGAGGGGAGGGGTCATGTCGCTCGCCCCCAGTAACTTATTGTCATATTGAATTCGACTGATACTATCAATGGGGGAAGGAGGAGGGGCAACATGCGCCGGCCATGTCCCCTTAAACTACGCCATGGTATATTACCTTTATATTCAATTCGGACCGTCACCATTTAAGGAGGGAAATGGCCCCTTGCCCATTTGGCTACGCCGTAGTATCTTACCTTATTATTCAATTCGACCCTCTCTGTCAATGGAGGAGTGGGGGGGGGGGCAATGCTCCAGTGCCCACTAGGTACGCCATATCTTCTTACCTTCATATTCAATTCAACCGTCTGTGCGTGTGGGAGGGGGTGGGGCAAATTCCCCCTGCTCCCTGCAGTTACACCACATTGTCTTACCTTCATGTTCAATTTAAGCGTGTGTGTATTGGAGGGGGGGGGGGTGAGGTCAGGCAAATGCTCCCGTGCCCCCTGCAGTAACGCCATAATATCATATTAATTTCATATCATTACCGTCGTAATGGGGGACGGGGAGGTATGCCACGTCATGACGTGACCTTGTCTCTACGCCATGCAGGGGCAGGGTATCTTACCTTCATATTCGATTCGACCGTCCCCGTCGGTGTCAGCATCTTTGATGAGTTCATCAACCTCGCTCTTATGGATATCGAGGAAAGTCAAAACGTGCTTGAGTTCAGAATTCCTGAAAGAATCAATACCCAAAAGAATCATGTTTTCTTGTATCTTGGCTGTTTTCTGTTAATTTCCGTTTTTTCCCTTCCATTTTACTCATTATTTTTAAGTATATTTCTATATTTGTACAGATTTTCTCTCCCCCCCCCCTCCCCGTCTTAATTATTTTCCCCAATTTTTCGAAATTTCCTTTTCTCCTCATTTCATTCGTTTTCTATTCATATCTTGTATTTTTATTTAAAGGTACTATGTCCCATTTGCAGGCCAAAAAAATGAAAAAGTTAAATTCCAACTGCATTTGAAAGATAATACTTATTTAGAACTTCCCTAAAAAAGGTGGGGCTTGAAAATGTCTTCAAGTGGGAAAATAACGACTATTAGTTGTCAAATCGACTTTAGGGCTATAGAGCCCAAAAGTAATAGTCTTGATTTTCAGACAATTGTACTGAATGGTCATACGTTTTATGCTGCGCAAAGATTCAATCAGTTTAATCTTGGCCATCACACTAAAGTGGGTTATTGATGTAGGCAAATGCTCATGTACCCTTTACAACTCTTTTCATGTATGTTATTACCAAAGAAGAAAAAAGCCAGTCAGTCACTCAATAGTGTCTGACAGTGAAGTCTGGCAAGTAAACGGGTTTCCTTGCATAATTTGAATATGAGGACACTGCTAACGTTTAAATTTGACAGATAGGACATACATGACATATTCATATAATTCCTGCAAAGTTCTACAGAATTTGAGGTTGGCTGCAAAAGGGACATAGTACCTTTAATAAATTCTATTTATTTCATTCTTATATATTTATTTCATTCATTCTTTCTCTCTTAGTTCTAATTTATATTTTTACATAATTTCGTAACTAACTACACCAATGACATATTTAAATAGACCATTGCCATTTACGATGTAAATGTTGATTTTGGTGGTGGGGGAGGTACCAAATTGTCTATTTTTCAGAGATGTTTAAATTAAAGTAGCGTCAAAGAAATGTTATTTACTTCTCTTCTTTCATTCTTTTGGTGGTGGGGGGGGGGGGACTGTGGGAGAGGTACTAGATTATAAATTTTCGGAATTGTACCCCCATCCCCCTTTAAAAAAATCCTGGATCCGCCATCGTCTCTCTACTCACTCGATATATCCATTTCCTCCCTTGTCGAAGACTCTGAAAGCTTCACGGATATCCTCAGCGTTGTCCATATCGTTCATCTTCTTCGACATCACTCCCACGAACTCAGCAAAGTCGATTTGTCCGTTTCCTGATGGTTGAATGACAGTAATATAATAATATAATAATAATAATAATTATATGTCTTGTTTACCCAGGGTAGCCTCATCAGTATTCATACTGTTCTCCCTGAGGGCCTTGCAATCATATTATTACCCTGGTCATCGGATTCAGGCTAACCCGCACACAATGTTTGCACATTCTCCACTCCCTGTGGAGCATTCCAGCCAGGAATCATTTTTACAAGCGCACACTTGCTCATCTAAGCACATTAGCTTTCGCATCCTACCGGGTACCCATTTAACACCCGGGTGGAGAGTGGCAAATGTAGATCAATGTCTTGCCAAAGGACATTAGTGCCGTGGTGGGACTTGAACCATGGACCTTGTGATCCACAGTCCGGTGACATATCCACTCGTCCACCTCACCATCACATAAGTTCTCAAGGAATAGACCAAAATAATTATGCCTCTTTCAGATATGAGTTGGTAAACCGCAGCGTTTTTATTAAAGATGTAATAATTGAGCTTCACATTTTTGTTAAAATTCCAACTTTTTTTTCTCCCCTGGCGGTTTACTCCGTCATCTTTGAACGGGGCACAAGTGACGTATCACTAACCAAGAAATGTGCCCCACCCCTGTTTTCGACTTTTTGATCAAAAAGGCTTCTCATGGACCATGTGCAAATACAGTGTACTACTACAAATTATATTACTACAAGAGCACTTTTTTTTTTTGTCCCGAAAATTTGCAAATTTGACCGATCGTTCCGTTGGGGGGGGGGGGGGGGGTAATGTGTCACCTTTTTGGGGTCACCCAATAGCACAATTTTTAATTATTTTTTTTGAATTAAAACAAAAATTTGAGGGGCGGGGGGTTTCCAACAAAACACACCAAAAAAGTACTACTACTTCTACTATACTACTGTTACTACTACTACTACTACTACTACTACTACTACTACTACTACTACTACTGCTGCTGCTGGTGGTGCTACTACTACTACTACAACTACTCTCTTCTTTTCTTTCTTCTTTATTCTGTCTACTTGTCCAATTATACCTACCATTCATATCGAGTTCGTTGACGATCTCATGAACCTCGTTCTCTGTTGGGTTCTCTCCCATGGATCGCATCACGTTACCCAGCTCCTTCCCAGTAATGATCCCATCACCATCCTTATCAAACACGGCAAAGGCTTTCTTAAGCACTATATAAAGAGAGTGATGAAAAATAGTAATAATTGAAGATGTAACAACTATAACAACGAAGACTACAACAACAATATTGGTAATAATAATAATAATAATAATAATAATAATAATAATAATGATAATTTCAAAAAATAATAACAATGATGATAATGAAAATACTACCAATGAAAACAATGATAATAATAATAATAATAATAATAATAATAATAATAATAATAATAATAATGATAATGATAATAATAATAATAATAATGATAATGATAATAATAATAATAATAGTAATAATAATAATAATAATAATAATAATAACAATAATAATAATAACAATATATAGATTATTTTGCTTATATAATTTACAATGCGTTTCCTACACTCATTTAGAACTGATAAATTTCGTCGTTTTTAACTAGTTGCTAAAATCGAATGTCAAAGGTTAATTACCATCCATTTGTTTCTTGTCCAAGGTGACCTCTGCCTTCTCTGCCTGTAAAGAAAAGATGAAACGGGGGTTGATTTGATTTGATAAGGAGAATAGAAGATGATATAAATATATGGCAGATATCAGCAGAAACAGAGAGACATTGCGTCCATCCATGGGTGGGGGGGGGGGCACTGTAATGATAGAGGGTGCACCGCTCTTATTTTGGAAAATAATGACAATCATAATTATTGATCAGGGGGTGTTCTTTCCCTGTTTCTGTTTTTCTTGGTTTTTCTGATTTTCTGGCTCTTTCTTCATCAGGATTATAGGTTCGAAACACAGGTAAAGACCAGATCAAAAGTGCTTAGTTTATTTAAGCCTGATATGCATGTACATACAGGTGTAAGGTTAACACCATCCTCGCCAAAAAGTTTTGAATCACCTCTATTTTCGAGAATTCAAGCGTGATCGGTGTTGCTGTGATGATCAAAGGATCGACTCCAACACCACCATCACCACCTCCACGACCACCGGCAACACCAACACCACCACACTACCACTACCTTGTCCACTAACAACGTACACTACTGACCACCAGCACCATAAACCATCACAACTACCACCACCACCATAAACCATCACAACTACCACCACCACCACCACCACCAACATCACCAACACTAACCACTATCAAATTGCAACCATCACCACCACCACCACCACCACCACAACAACAACAACAACAAACACAACAACAACGATCACCTCCTCCACCAACAATAATAACAACAGCAACAACGACAAATACCCTAACACCAGCACTAATACCACAAACACCACCACAACCACTACCGTTACCACAATCTCCACCACGACCACCACCGCCACCAACATGTATCATTATATAACAACCAGTCGGCGGCCGTGACTGCTAGTCATGGTTGACCTTTATAACCCTGCATAATAATCTGCACGGTGAAATTTTTGGCCGAATATAGTAATGTAAGGTGAGGTGACACTTTTAAAAGGTAAAAACTGAGGGGGTTCAAATGAAACCTTTTGGTCCAGAACCCCTTATTTCAGTGGGGGTAGCACGGGTTAAAATATTGAAGGGGTGGGCACTAGCTGGCCTAATATGTGAATAGAACGCGACCTAATCTAAAACCGGGTAGACTTTCAAAAAGGAATTTACAATTTCTAGACTATTTTGAATTTAATAGCTTTTAAAAATTCAAAAATGTCCTGGAGCTCCGCCCCTCGGACTCCCGGCAAAAGCCCTGCACCCCATCTGTAAAGATAGAAGTGGTTCCCAAGACAACCGTTTGTCCATGGGTAAGTAATGAGCGTGTGAGGGGGTGGAAAGTTGGAAACACAGTGGACTCAATCCATTTGAGGCACGTTAGGCAGCAATATGATAGTGGTATAAAGTAGTCAAATTTCAGATGACATTAATTGTTGTTGCAAAATATTCAAATAACTCTGTTACTCGTGGTTGACTTCGTCATGAAGTGGACCTTGAAGACACAATAGCCGTTTGTTAAATGTAGCTTCACACCAAATAATGTTATCTAGTTTTAGAATAAAGCCTGTTCGGAGGAATGTGTTTATCCTCAAAACAAATAGGCACTGGGATTATTTTTTAGTAAATACATAATACAAGGTTTCGTATCTATATTGAAAATGTAATGCAGACATTGAGTTTTAATTACTGCTATTTCAGTCTTCAAAGTTTACTGTCTAGGGGGCCCGATTATTCAGTAATAATGGCGGTGTAGACATTTCTCCAAAATTTATGAAGGACGACCCCTATCCTTGAAAATACAGAGGTCGACATGTCTCCCTCCAATATTCCCCGCCTATCCATAAATGAAGAAAAACATTGAAACATGTACTAAACGAGATGATATATTTTAAAACCATTCTAATATGACGTGATACATAATTACACGGTAATGAAGTATTTTATAATAAAACATACGAACAGGCCGAAACTGGGTATAAAGATATGATGATGATAAGGTACTCATAGGGGTACGGAGAAGGGGCCAAGGGGCTGCAGCCATCGTATGTTCCAAGTTCCCATGTTCGGGCAACCACTATACACCCCTTATATATTATGCGGGTAGAGAGATGACCGAATATCCTCATATTTGGGTAGCGACGTGTGCCAGAATATATTCTCTGTAGGCCTAAATTCCACTACATGAAGTGTCTTTTTTTTTGGTGACCGCTCGCTTCGCTCACACGCGGACTATTCAGAAACTGGAGAGCTGCTTTCCGCGGGTGGGGTTGCATCAGCTGTTTCTAAAGTAGTTTGCTATCAACGTTGGATCTCCCATTAATGGTTTCATACTCGTCAATCATAACATTTCATGATTATGACGTAATACGTTAGAACTAGAATCTATGAATGATGGGTGAGATAGTAAATATATTTGAAATAAAACTACTTACCATGGTTAAATGATGCTTGGTGTATATGCTGTTACTTTAAACTCCAACTCCAAACAAGTGAATACCCCGCATACAGATCAGAATCTCCAACTTCGAACTAATAACGCTGTTTACAAATTCTTCCCAATGCTTCGATTCATTTCCATATAGGGATCATCTAACGTTATTGGGTTTTTAAACCGCAGTTATGGTAAATTTGTTTCGTCACACTTCCTCGGGCTACTTAGGTCCAAGTATGTTTGAAGTCCTGATCATGGGGATGATATCGTCTCTGCAATTGACTGTTTTTTCTTCTTCGGTTCCACAGTCTCTCCCTCTGCAGCCAGGTCTATACCTATGTGACTCCACTTTTTCAGTTCCCGTTCCTGTCGGGGTATGAATCAATGACGAGTGCGTTATTACAATTGATTTTCTTTTGTTGGGCTGGGTGTACAGCTCAACGATCTCCTCTATTCAATTTATTCAATGGGCAAACGATATCTTAGAGAGACTTATAAAAGAAAATCATTATTATGTTCGCGTTTTCTGCCCCCAAGTTGCTCGATCGATATTCGACCTACGCCCTCCTCCCATAAACAAGCCAACTTTCAATGATAGGGACTTTTAGATTTGCACGTCGACATAGTGGACTGCTACGTGTGAAGTACTTTTAAGGCACTGGCAGTGCTTTAAAAGGACGTCACATTGCCTTAAAAGTACGTCACACGTAGCAGTCCACTATGTCGACGTGCAAATTAATCTAAAAGTCTATAATATCAGAAGACAGAGTTTGAATCATGCTCATTTTCTTTCGGCATTCGCTGTGAAAGGAAACACAGCCGATGTCATTTCATTTCTCATTTATTCGGCTCCACTACAAAGCAACATCTAAAATAATATATTACAACGAAAGCACTTTGAAAAGAAAAGATGCACATTCTTCTCGTTCTCTGTTCCCAAGTTGCTAGCTCGATATCCCACAAACGCCCTCTCACCACAAACACCCCCTTTTACTAATAGTCAGACGGTCTATTTGATATCATGCTCGTTTTCCTTCGTTCGCCGTGAAAAGGAAACACAGTCGATTTCATTCTTTTTCTCATTTATTTGGCTCCACTACAAAGCAAGATCCAAAACAAAATAATACAACAAAAGCACGTTAGACATTGATCAAAGTAACGATGCACGTTCGTATTCTGAGAGTACTGCTATGAAAATGAACACTGCTTGGATGTAATTCATTCTTTAATAATAATGAAGGTTGCAATAATGATGATGATAATAACGGTTCTGAGCCCATTTAGTGTCTCCTCTTACAAGGAAGCATATCCTTTAAAATTGTCTTAATCATATGCTTATTCAGATCCTCGGTCATTAAGATTTTACATACGTTGGACTATTCTTATCAAATTGCTATTGCAATTCTTTCGAAGTCGTATCGCATAGCTTGCAATTGGCTTAACACAAAGAAAACTAGGATCTTGACCAGGCTTAACGTTGATAGATGAAAATGACTTTAAATAATAGTGTAAACCGTCACCCGTGAAGTTGGAACATTTTTTTCTTACCTCTTTTTAATGAAATGATTGTGACAATGTAGTTTATTCTTTATTTCAAAAAGAAGAAGTTTATAATCTTCTAAAAACTTTTTTTTTTATCAATCTCTATGACAGTTTAGACTGATCAACAAAGTTCTGAGAAGATTAATCTAATCTGTCAAGAATTAATCATATTATCACAATCATTTCATGAAAAGGTATATGAAAAATATATTACAACTTTTCGGCAACATTTTAGGTCATATATTAAATTAATTCAGTCACTTTTACTCTTGTGGCTAATTTTCTTTCCCCAGCAACACGAAATGCAACAGCGCACGATCTTGTAGAATACGAATAAAAGAAGTGCCCCGATTCCTATCAAAAACATAAAAACGTCGATCAAATTATATTGGATAAACGATAGATCCTTCCCAGGGGATCGCATATAATCACCGCCATGTTTGATCACGTGTTCGATCCAAAAGGCAGCTCGATCAACTGGTTCCATTGGTCGACTTCTTAAGATGGTGGACAGACGTTTGGCTGCTAAGCTGTATTTCTCGTCTCCTAACACTTCCGCGACGTGCTTGTGAATGTAGTCGGCGCTGAGCGTACGTTTGTCGAGCTGCAGTCCCATCCCATGCGACGTGACTTTGACCGCGGTGTCGAATTGATCCGCGATGAACGGTACGACGACGATGGGTACGCCGTGGTACACCGCTTCGTAGAAGCCGTTGTTTCCGCCATGATACATGAAGAGCCGAGTTTTGGGATGACCCAGGAGGTCATTCTGAGGTAGCCATGGCAACGCTTTAATGTTTGGCGGGAGATCGTACTGGGGCATGACCTTGAGCTGGATGATGACCTTCTGGGGGAGCTTAGCCAACGCATCGATGAACATCTTCAGTAGGTGAGGTCTGGATGTCGTGACAGACGCGAAGTAGGTTGACAAGGTGAACACCACAATCCCGTCATCTCCAGAACTCTGGATGAAGTCTTCCAGTTCTTGAGGAAGGTCGTTTGGTGCTTCCGCAGTTACACCTCCTACCGGGATAACATTCGGGGTGATAGGAAAGGGAAATTCAACTGCGAAGTCAAAATTCCCCAGGAACAAATCTGCCGCTGGCGGACCCATCGCCATTATTTCATCTTCCAAGTCAAACTGTTCTGCAAATGACAAAAAGTAAGACCCCATTTGGTTGCCAAAAGAGCGGAAAACGGCAGTAGATATTGTGTTGATTGTTCTTTCGATAAAAGTCATATTTGAAGTGAGGCCGGACATCGTACTTGGTTGATAGGCCGGATTAACCGGAGATCCGGCAAGGTCTAAGATCATCGCGTTTGGTGTATTGGGTACGTTTAAAATGATACGAATATCAGAATTAGCGTGTTTCTTCAAGTAGAGCTTTATCACACTACTGCAGAGCCAACTAACGTCACTCACCATGGCATCCATCTTCTCAAGACGTTTCATCATCTCCTTATCTTCCAAGACAAAAAGACAAGACTTGCGGAGAAGTTCTTTCGACAAGTACATCATTTTGCCGAAGCTTCTCAACCCGCCCTCATCGTTGAAGGCTAAATCCGAGACAAATTGGAAGTATTCCTTAGTTGTATAGTGAGGATCGGTGTTTCTGTATATCTCAAAGTTGAAGTATTTCTTAAGCTCGGGATCGTCAGCTCTCTCTTTGTATTCATCCATGATGAGGCAAGTGACATTGTGCCCCTGCCTTACCAGTCTTTTCCCAATCGGAACGAGGGAAAGAAAATGGCTCCCTTTGCCGACCAATCCTGACATCAGAATATTGGCAGATTTGACGTCTTGACCCGCCCATATTAGAAGAAACATCTGAAGGAGAGCTGGAATATAAGGTTGACGCATGTTGCTCTTCTTAGTTGATGATGCTTCTAGTTATAGAAACTTATTAGGCGATGATTCTGTAAGTAATAAAGACAAGAAATGCAATCATTAACTTCAAACAAGGCTATCGTGGTGTTTGATGAACAACTTCATACGTCAACTGAACGCGTGCGTCAACAATAATTTTGTCATAATTATGCCTACACAAACATTTTGTACTGTCTATATTAAACTACGCTGGCTGTACAGGAGGCGTCACCGGCCAGTGCGCTAAAACATTTCATATCACAGAAAGCTAAGAAAAGGCTACTGATGACCTGGGGAGTGTTTCGCAAAGACTAAGATCGGCTTTAAGTTGGACTTAACTAAGGCAGGCCGTTCATGCCACTGGTTGCTCTCACTATTGGTCTCTCAATTATCTTTTAGATAATATTTTTCCTTCAATAATGAATTATCAAAAAAGAAATTCTGTAGATTTGTGATCACAATTTATATGCCCCTTGAGAAACCAATACCAGGAATGGTTAGAGGAACTAGCTGGCATGAACGGCCTGCCATAGTTAAGTCCAACTTAAACTTTCTATCTTAGTCTTTGTGAAACACCCCCTGCTCTATAAGATCAACCCAGTGTTCTTTCCCCGCTCACTGGTATGACTACATTGAATGATTTGTTACACCAGCGTTCCGTCGACCTTGATTTTCGAACGAATCAAAACCATTGCGATAGTGAATCACACCCTATAGCTGCGTCACGGAGTTGCGTCTTTGCCTTGATCAAGACTGCGTCTTGGCCTGTCAGATGGATGGGGGGGGGGGGGGGGGGGGGGGGATTGGAAATTATGCCTAAATTGTCCCTTAAGTGCACGAGTGCAGTCGACATGACTGCCGGATGATATTCTTTCGAATGAAATCAAACATAATTATTGGCGCAGTGTCTTTACGCCCTATATTTCCCCTATTCTTTCAACATTGATTTTTGTTGACAGTCCAATACCCCGCCCCAATTATCTCATACTTTACCTTTAGTTAGGCACCCCTCCCCCCTTCTCCCCCTTTCTCTCCTCTCTCTCTCTCTCTCTCTCTCTCTCTCTCTCTTTCCCTCTCTCTCTCTCTCTCTCTCTCCCTCTTTCTCCCTCTCTCTCTCTCTCTCTCTCTCTCTCTCACTTTTTCGATCGCTTCTTCGCTCTTCCCCGGCTTCCCCCTCTCTCTCTCACTCTCTCCCTTCCCTGCTACTCCCTCTTGATCTGTCTGTCTTCCCATCTTAGCTCTTTAATTGATCTCTTTATATCCCTATCTGTCATAATAAATTGTACATATTTAGTCGGCTCCGGGCTGTGCTTATATTTAAGATTGAAAGGATAATATAGGTCTACAATTTCAATATTGATGAATTCATTTGCCATGCAAACTGCGAATAGGGTCTAAGCGATCAAAAAGAAGTATTTGTATTCCATAAAATAATACAAAATACGTCCTACACACTTTGTCAGTGGCCTTTAAAATCGGATACGGTATACACCGGTAGAAGAGCACATAATACAGTGTGGTATCGTATAGTCGTCCTACTATATATCCACGCACGTTCAACGTCAATGTCGCGGCTCACCCCACACAACTTCAAGCAACGGGGCATATCCATATAACATATCATCAGGGGCATCATGCAACGGTCAAATCATATTTGGTTCGTACATAATTATACTATATATTATAAAAAGTATATTAATGTAGAATTAGCGCTAGCTATAGCTCACACTATGATGGCATTAAAATGTGAGAGATATATAATGAATGAGTATAATTATCCGTACCTTTTACGCAGCAGGCGTAATATAATGCACAAGGAACGTTGATCGCAACTCGGAAGTGTTATTTTTAGCCGCAGTTAATAAATACAATACGAAAAGTACCCTGGAATTTGGTACGGCGGGGGGGGGGGGCAAAATAACGTCGATTGTAATTAAACGTCCAATCATAGTCATAGTCATTATATGCAGCCAGATATGTATTCTTTATTTGCACAGCATGTATGCATGTTTTTCGGACTTTGACACCAGCTAATTAGCCCTAAACTTGTTTTAAAATAAAGAATCGAAACAGTATGGAACGGGGGGGGGGGGGGGGGCTCCTATGGGCTATTGTTCAGCAATGACAGAGAAATAACTTAGCATAGGAGACGTGGGTACATGTGCCCCTCGGTCAAATATCGATCCGAAGGAGATCGAGAAAGAGATAGAGATAATGTAAATGATAAGGAGTAATAAACTTAAAGCCCGTCTGCACTAGTTTGGCCAGGGATATTAGACCTCCCTGCAAGGTCACTGACAGGTGGTTATCACATAAAATCAGCTCTCAATTAATGTACGAAAAAGGGATCATAGGGGACCAACAGGCACCGATTATCTAGGCATCGTTTGCTCAGTGTAGAGGACGCAATTAAGTAGCTATTAGTGCAGTGGGGCGTTAAAAGAAGTTGGACCCCTCCCGCATCCTCGGCTCTGGCCCCCCTGTCAATTTTTCAATTCTCATTTCATCCACATTATATAACAGGACCGATCAGTGTTAAGTTACGTGACAATCATTGTTTATTATCAATAACAGAACCGGTATAATAAGGCTTTTTATTCATACTGTGGTACAAATAATACAGTTTTATGAGTAACAGAGAGATAGAGAAAGAGAGAGAGGGAGGGGGAGGGAGGGAGGGGAGAGAGAGAGAGAGAGAGAGAGAGAGAGAGAGAGAGAGAGAAAGAGAGAGAGAGAGAGAGAGAGAGAGAGAGGGGGGGGGGGAGAGAGAGAGATTGGAGAGTTACACTTGTAGAGAAAGAGATTTTGAATTTGATAGAAATGTTTGGCATAAAACGGTAGATTCAAATATCGATCATCATGTGCAGACTTGCAGAATTGATCAAGGACAGGAGCAATTGGTAAATCACTTTTTAATTCTGGTAAAGTATTTGATTTTCATGGGAAGAGAATGGAGTTTATGTATAACCGTGGATGAAATTTAACACAGTTTCAAAGAAGTTGAATTGGAGGAAAATAAATTGGCATTGGTGAGAAATAAATTTCCCCCACATCAGTGAAAATGGGAAAACTGGGAAGTTTAAGGGAAAGCGAGGTAGAGGTGAAACGAAGTCAACAGCTTAAGTCATTTCGACATTGTAAAGAAACCTGTACCAGAATGCATGCCCTATCCACACAAGTAGAAGGAAGGGGGAGGGGAGGGGGGAGGGGAGAGGGGGATAAGACCAAGGAGTTAGAGAGGAGGAAAGGATGGGAGAGGGTTTTGGGATAGTTCATGTTTTAATTTTAAAAAACTCAAAATGTCAATTCTGTATAATAATATTGAGAAATATGAAACTCATTATTTAAAAAAAATATTTGTTTAAGTATTCAGTCTTTTCAGAAAAACGCATTGTTTTGTTCTAGTTTTGGGGTTGAAATAACTGTGCAGTGCGCTTATATCTTTCTATGTGATTGTGATATATTTTCGTCATAATATATTGTGAAATAATGAATAATGAATTATGTTGTATTTATGTTTGTTTATCAAATGATAAAAAAGATTTGTTATAACTATGTTGCGGTTTGATTATAAACTATGTTATGTACGAAAAAGAATTGGAGCTTTCAGAAATAAAATCAATGAATACAAAAAAGACTTGCAACAGAGAAATGAGATTCACACATCAAAGAACGAAGCAAAAACAATCAAATTTACAAAGAAATTGGTGTTATATTTAAAACCACAATTTAAAAAAAGAAGAGACAAATTCTTCATCTGTACTGGAATACAAAACATTTTAGAACATTCAATGTGGTAACTGCTGTAAAAAGTACAAAAGGAATTGAGCAGTGGTTTATCCAAGGAGCTTAGACATTTAAAAAGATTCCCACCTCCTTAGAGCATGACTTTTTTGAAATACAAAGTGCTTCTGTGTCAGGCAGTAAAATATTAAACTATGCACGTACAAAGTTTAAAGTCAGACAAAGTGACACGGTGACATGGTCAGCTATACAAATTCAACAAAAAGTTTGTTCACAGTTAAACTACAAAACATGATGGAAAAACACAGTTGTCAAACAAACAGATTGCAATATCTTTTAAAAATTCAAATAATCTGACATTTTCCTTTTTGGCTTGGAGATATTTTGAAATGAAATTATTTGAATAATGTTTTGGTTTTACAAAGAGATACAGGTAACATTTCACCAGACATTATCTCATTATTCAATGATGATAACTATTAGAATACCAACTCCACGTACATATTGGCAACAGTATAATTTGACACCATAAAATACTTGGCAGTATATAAAAAAAAATAAAAAAAATAGAAAAAAACTGCTATAAGATATATTTCATAAGTTAACCATAATAATGCACCTGCCTTATATTTCAATACGTACATATGGAAATTATGAAGGAATATTAGAGTGAAATTAAAAAGCCCATTACACCACAGCCTCCTAATCTAATACATGTAGAATTCATTATTTCAATTAAAAAAATGATATTACATTTAGTACTTGGAACATACTGAGTACAGAGATATTTACAAACCACCCTCTTTGAAAATGTAAAAGAATATTTACAAAGTTATTTAATCCCACTGTCCATTTGGACCAGCCTCAACATAGATACAACACATTTTATACACATTTTGATAGATTGACCAAAGTACACATGAAAGGGATTGGTGCAAGATAACCCTCAATTTTGTTTGTGAGAAATTTTGATTACATGCGTGAATAAATGGTCAGTTGCTCAATTAATATGAGCAACAACTTAATTAAGCTTCATAATGCAACTTTTTAGCTCTTCATTGATATGTTTTTCTTTGTACTATCTTTAACATCTACATGTATGCATTTATCCTATGATATTGTGCTTGTTGGTTAGCACTATATTATTAATATTATTATTATTACTTATACCGCGCTTTTCCCATAAGGCCCAAAGTGCTTACATTTACAGTGAATAAAAATAAAAATTACATACATACATACAAGAAACAACTACAAACTACAAAAAAGATCTGTTTTAACCAAGTGTTCCATATATCAGAAAGCAGTGACTGCAAAAATACTCAAATATTCAAGACAAGAAAATATATCTAAATTACATTTCCTCACCTAATGTGAGAAGCAAAAAATAAAGATAAAACAAGTTATTTTCTATTAAAAAATGCATATACTAAAAATTGATATAAATTTAAAATTAGTCATTTCTTCTGCATCCTGTACAATGTATTTCACAGCATTCAGATAGTAGCATGGTACATTTATAAATCAATTTAATCATACAATCAAATAGATAAATCTATTAACAAAAATTTAGTTGAGTAGCACACAGCATTGAAGAAAGAAAAGTCTCAAAGGAACCATTTATTTATCTGCTAAGAGCCAGGAGGGTCTACAGTCATTAAGGCATTATACATGATGAAGATAACATTGACAAAAGAGAAAGGGGAGTAGGGAATACATCCCCCTAACCCACATGCAATTTTTTTCCATAAAAGTTTACAATTTCTGTATGAATAGAAATTCACCACTTTGGATCAATTTCTGATACAACGCATGTGTGTTGTCCTACCCAGCGGATCTTTTTCCAGTGCTTTAAATTGTGATTTTAGCAAGATTTGAAAAGTCTATATGTTACAATTTTGAGGATTTTCAAAACCAAATAGTACATGATGTTCACCTTACTTGTATTTAACATAAGATCAATCATTGACATCTTCTTAGATAGTTCAATTACAACAGAATTCCATTACCAGAACTCAAGATAACATGTATTCACATGACTGAACCGACTCAAAAGCGACTGAAAACAGACTCAAAACTGACTCAAACTAACTAGAAACCTACTCAAAACCAGACTCGAACCAACTCAAAACCTACTCCAGAACAACTTGTTTCCATCATGTTTTTAAATCCATCTTTGTTCTCATTGGTGCGATTAGGCTTTGACACCCTTCAGAACCCTGTTTCATAAAACATGTTATCAATAACAAGTTACAATCCCTGTTATAAGCTACTGAAATCGTAGCATCTGATTGGCTGAGAGCAAAGTAGTCCTATAAATTTAGCATTTGTTATTGAGAACATGTTTTATGAAACAAGGCCCTGGTATTCAGCAGACACAGTACTACTCTACACAATGTGCAGCATGAATGCGATATTGAATATAATTTGTAGATTTGATGAACAATATGGAGGAAAGTGAAAGACTGTTAAAATTGCAGCAAAGTAGACTAATCCATCACAAAGTTTGATAAAAACACACTGTACCAAGTCACATCATAAAGTGTATGTTCAGTACGTATGAAATAGATACATAAATGAATCCCACTGGATTCCATGGTCCAGAAAACTCTGAATGAGTGATGGAAACCCATCGGAAAAACCAAAGTCAAAGAAACTGAAATTGTATCCAGCAGGCCAACTCCTCTACACTTAAACCCACTCACCCACCCTCCCACCGACCTCACACACACACTCACACTACTACCACCCTCCTACCCACACTCCCTTAGAATGATGTACCAGTGCACATTTTATTCAGTTCCTACATGTATGTACACTACTTCTGTAGTAGCTTACAGTTACTAATGATGCGAAACCTTTCCCAAGGCCTGCCAGACACAGCAACAGCTAATACATACAGCTTACATTTGGTCTTAAATACAGTTCCTTGTAAAAGGTAAATACAATAATTCATTTACAGTTGCTTATATTTAAGGAAGCAGCATCTGAAACATTGCAGACCACCAAGTGCTACAAAATACAGATCGACTTGCTCACGTGATCCATGCGACTACATAAACATGAACATGTATTAGATGCCTGGGGGTGTTAAATAAAGCTGTGCGTAAAGTTACAAATGACGTTACAAATGTTTTTCTGACATTTAAAAAAAGAGTGACTGTATTTCCCATAATTTCAATTAAATTGTAGCCAAAAAGACACTTTGCATTTAAACTTATGCAATTAAAAGCATTTGAGAATCCCATTTAGCTCTTCATATTCAAGTCATTTGTGAAGTCATGCGTAACTTTACGCACAGCCTTATGAAACACCCTCTTGGCTCATATTCATAAAAACTTACTAAGCCTAGTCATCAATAAGTACTATAGTCTATGTATTCATTTGACAACCTGCATAAACAGTTTATTGAATCTGGGCTGTATTGTCTCAATCGAAATTGATCTGCCAAGTAAGAAAAGGAAAATATTTCAATCTTTAGCACTTTAACCTTTGTGCATTTTTCAAGAAATGTGTGAAACTAAGGTTCAGACAACTGCAATACAATACATCTATCTCATCTGTCACATCTCAAATTAAGCACATCGGCCAAACATGTACCCTCTTTGTGGTTCACTGTCATTTGGTCTTTTTTTGGTCATAGATAGAATGCTAAATATATCACAACATTCAAACTTCACTGCACATACTAAACAGAGTCCCTTTGTGTTGAAATACAGAATGGATTTCAACACATATAAGATTTCTAAAAATCAGCATTAAAGTCTCAAAATCAAATAATAATTCTTCATTTCTTCATTTTTCCCATCTTAACTAGAAATGTGACCTGCTAATATATAAAACATCATTAAGTACATTCCCTTGAACCAATCAATGGTCTCAGATTATTTACATACAAGATACATGATCATATTTTTGGAAGAATTTTGAATGTCATAGTGACAGTGAATATATACATATTGCCAATATACCACACTGTTTGTCCTACCTACCAACAATCAATGTATGCAATTCACATGCTGACTATGGAAATACAATTATTTGTAACAGTAGTAATTGTTAAAAACTTCAGACATAAAAATGGAATATTAGATGGTGTCACAAATATAGAGGAATGATCGCATGGATCCTTTTGAAGTGAATACAGGAATGACACCAATACAAATGGAAATGGGCAGAACGATTTAATCAACATTTCACTATTCTAAGAACATGGGATGCAGATCACTAAACATATGAATTATGAAGAGTTTAATTCCAAAAGAAGCTAAATCCACTTTTGATGAAAATTGAGTTAGGGATATCAGAGCAGTATTCAATTAAGTACCTGTCTTTCAACAAATGTATTTACCTAAATTTTGGGAGCAATTATAAAAAAATGCACCTTCTAATATCACTTTTCCATAAACACCTGTACAAAATCTGGTAAACAAATCCTTTTTTCTCTAAAGTTACAAAAATAGATTTAGCAATAGCTCCTTTGGAATTAAACTCTTCATATACTGACTGCATTTTCAGGTCATGGCTAAAACCACTGATTCTCAGTGATCTTGAGACTGAACTGTGCCCTTCGACTCTAAATCAAGGCATGGCGCAGTTTTGAGATCACTTCAGGGCAATAGTTTTAAAACCATTGCCTTCTAAAGCAGTCAATAGTTTTATAGATGGGATTAATAGCCAGAGATTCCCTGGTTAGATTACGCATGTGCATATCAAAAAGCATCCCGACTTACAGTGTAAGTAGTATTCAACACACAATACTATAACAATATTATAAAAGTGTTGACGCCCATTTTAACATTCACAATCCTTCATTCTTTGCAATTTTCTAATGGCGCACTATATTCTTTGATCCATTTGGCCCATAAAAGCTCCACAAAATGCACCCAAAGCCATCAATTCTGCACTTGAATACTTATAAGTTTATGATACAAAAGGTAAGGCAATTAGAGAATAAGTATGTATATTCCTGTGGCACTCAGGATAAAAGTTATACTGCTTGAATACATTGTACATAAAAATCACAAATGTAATAAACTACATTGAAATAATTGTTATACACGTATTACTTTAAAAAAGCGATAAAAATTAAAAATTATTTCATTGCTATGAAAGATATCCTCTGTAAAAAGGTACTGTACAACTTAGGGCTACTAAATGATACAAATTCATTACACCACATAACAAATAAACAAACAAAAAATGTCCAAAAAAAAACACAATCTGAGGAGATTCCATGACATTTGCTCCGGCGACAATTGCTCCGCTGTAAATTTCATACACTAATCGAATGGCTAACTTCAACCCTGGATTCAACACTATACCCTACCCTAAACCTAACCCTAAACCTAACATAAAACCCTATTGAAACCCTAACCCTAACCCTACATCTTAGACGAAATAAAGCCCGGAGCAATTGTCGCAGGAGCACATGTCGTGTCACCTCTGAGGAACCATTTTAAAAGTAAAGTATGAAGAATGAATTGCTCTTTTACATGTAGTAGACCAGTTCGTAGTTAGCTTTCGTACAAATGACCCCCAAATATTCACAAATCTTTTACACATGGCGACCTCCCACTTTGTGCATTTTAGAGATTCACTGCCAAAGTCATCTCTGTCTCACAGCCTCTATCCTTGCTACAGTACCTGACAATGTTCAATCATGATAGTTTTTTTTAATGTGACCGGGCAGAAGTACACTAACATTAAAATGACCAACTCTGCATCATTGATCTCGGTGAGCGAGATATCTGGAGCTAAAAGGCTCCGATCAAGATATCGCAGCAGAATCGCAGCCTCTATCATTGCTATAGTACTGTACCCATACAGTGTAGTTAATCATGATAGTTTTGTTGAATGTGACTGAGCAAAAGTATATTTATATTACCGACTCCTCTCCATTTGTGATCTACATGTAGGTAAGTGAGAGAGCCAAACGGCTTCCAGTTAAGAGCTAAATCGCAGCCTCTATCCTTGCCATAGTATCAGACAGAGTAGTTAATCATGATAGTTTCGCCGAATGTGACTGAGCAAAAGTGAGGATATATTACCGACACCATCATTTTGATCTACACGTAGGTAAGTAAGAGAGCCAAACGGTTTCCAGTTAAAGAGATGAACCGCAGCTTCAATCCGTGCGATAGTTCCAAAGAAGAAAAAGTGAAGATATATTACCGACACCATCAATTTGATCTAGGGGAGCGTGATAGTTCATAACAGGTTTCTGGTCAAGAGATGAACCATACCGTCGATCCTTGCGATAGTTCCAGAGAGGAAAAAGTGAAGATATATTACTGACACCATCAATTTGATCTAGGGGAGTGTGATGGTTCCTAATGGGCTTCCGGTCAAGAGATGAACCGCAGCTTCAATCCGTGCGATAGTTCCAGAGAGGGCGGGTTGGACCAGGTCCCAGCTATTGGTCCATTTAGCCATGTACAGTGCTCTGGTCAAAGGACCAAAACCTTGACCTTCATAGCCCGACCTTGAAGGGCCATATACTACATGTCTGAGAAATTGGAATACAGAGGGTAAAATGATAATATCAATAATGCGACAGTCAAAATCGCATAGTGGTTATTTCTCGTCTTACAATGAGATTCACATTCTAACTACTACACACTTGTGGCTAAGAAGAAGGTTTCCCCAAATGCAGTTTTTGTTGTTGTTGCTTTTTCCATCTTTTCACTTTATCCATTCCTTGAAATATGAGAACTGTAAGCTGGGTTCCACACCAAGATTTTCTTATAAAGAACTGGGGAGGGTTTCTTAAAGACTAAGATCAACTTTATGCTGGATTTAACTATGGCAGGCCATTCATGCCACTGGTTGCTCTCACCATTATGATCTTTAGATAATATTTTTCCTTTCACACAAGAATCAAGAGAACAAGAAAACTCACAGATTATTCTTTACTAAAACTCAACTTCAACTTGAATCCTCTCTTGATCTTACCTGAGCTGCGGTAGATAGTAGTTCCCAGGATCCCCTGCGAACGCTCTCTCTACAGACATTACTCTGTCATTCACCTCACGCAAAAGGGTTTGACTGAACAGATCAAGGAAAAAACAAACAGAAGGAGGTTACCTCAGAGTTGATGAAGATCATGAATTGTGTGAAAATATGTATTTCTGGTAGCTCCTTAAAGGTTTTTAAAGGTAAAGACCGGTATTGGTAAAATTGCGGTTCAAGGGTTTTGGGTGCAAAATATCCATTCAATATTGTTTAAATATTGCCTTCAGAAGTTTAGATGGCAATACTTCAACCTAAATTCGCAAAAAAGCAGAAATATATGCCTAAATGTTCAATGATGACGTGCATTCGCGATATCTATCCAGGCCGGATCGATATGATAATTTACCAAATAAATATGAATTAGGTGGTTTCCCGGCAAAATTTGTATCATCACGTATTAGTCAAAACATATTCCTTCACATGATTGGTAATACATTACATTTTTTGAGAGGGGGACGTTTCCAAAACTGGTCTATACCTTTAAGTTACATCAGACAACTAAAACTTGTTTTTCTCTAAAAGAAATGTTGTGTCTCTTTACATAAACTGACCTGAATTTTGTTTGTGTGTGTTGGGGGGGGGGGGGGGATCTCACATAATGAGGATTAACTAAATCTCTCTTCTTATTAATATGTCAGCAAGAAAATGATCTTAAGGTTTCAAAAGCTTTCTTTCAACAAAAGCAACCATTTGGTGTTCATTGACTATAAAAATTTGTACATATGACTGTTTCGAATTCTGCTGAGAAAGAGACAGTCTCAAAAATAAAACTTTAGGCATTTTGTCCACAGATCACAATAGTTAAAAGAAGTGAAATATATGAGCAGAATCAAGTAGTTTTCATTTCTATATTTTTTAATCTGTCATTTTGAAATTATTGTAAATATTTTAAAGTTTGTTCAATACTTGACTTGACTTAAGTATTGAACAACAGCTTGCCACACCTTCCTCTCTTTTGTTAGCCTAGTGGCTTTAGTCAGGGAGTCATCTTGTCTGATGTCTGTTTGTTCAATAATCCTCCTTGAAATACAATTAAAAGGTATTTTAATTCCTAAGGCACAACCTGAATAATCCTACAAATATGGATGTTTTACAATCTAAAATGTCCTTATTTTATTGTTAAATGATTGAGGGGGAAGTAATGTGCAAAATAACAAATTTCTGCAATTTCAGTGTAATTTTTTGAACTTCTGCAACAGAAGTGTGTTACACCTTCAACAAAATGGGGTAGTGTAGTGCGTTACACCTTCAACACCATGGGGTAGTGTAGTGTGTTACACCTTCAACACCATGGGGTAGTGTAGTGTGTTACACCTTCAACACCATGGGGTAGTGTAGTGTGTTACACCTTCAACACCATGGGGTAGTAACTTACTCTTCAAGTTCAGGAGGAATGTAGTAATCGTGTTGGAAGTCCTGGGCAGCTTTAGAAAACCTCTGTATAGCATCATTCAAATGACCTGCGTTCAAGTAGAGGAGACAGTAATAATAATACTCAGTTTTTATATAGCGCTTATTACAATCACTAAGAGCCAAACTTGGAGATTATTACTCCGGTTTTAGCTGTGCTGCCATTACGGCGCTCTAGCATTTCAAAGAATTAATTCCTGCTACATAATTTCCTAAAACAACAGCTGAAAAGACACTTTAAAAAAAGCACAAGGCTTGTAAAACTGAAAGTACCTGAACATATGATAATGATAGAAATTAATAATAATTATAACAATTAAAATAACACATCAGAAACAATTGCTAAGCGAATACAAATCACATATACATTCAAATAACCTATGCAGAGACATCTGACTTAACTTAAACAAGACTTGATCTACTTAGAAGTGAAAAAGCTACACTGACCTAAACTGAAGTGGATTGAGCTGGATTGAACAGCACCGAACCAAATCGAACTGGACTGACTTACCTAGTCCTTCATCGAGGGGGACAGTAAAGAACTGGACTGAACTGCACAGAACTGAATCAAACTGGATTAAACTGGACTGACTTACCTAGTCCTTCATCGAAGGGGACAGTAAAAAACTGGACTGAACTGCACAGAACCGAATCAAACTGGATTGAACTGGATCGACTTACCTAGTCCTTCATAGAGGGGGACAGTAAAGAACTGGAGTGAACTGCACAGAACAGAATCAAACTGGACTGACTTACCTAGTCCTTCATCGAGGGGGACAGTAAAGTTGGCCTTCTTGAGTTCTCTGAGGTATTCTACCAGCTTGGTCGCATAATCCACCACGTTAATCTGCAGCAGAGGATCATCTGCTAGCGAGAGAAGCGCCTCAGCAACCACTTCCGTCACAGCAACGTGTATCGACATGTCAGGATCGATGAAGCGCTTCACGTAGTCGTACGTGTCATAGGCCGTGTGCTTCACAGGGTACGTGGGAATGCCTCCGTAATACTCCTGGTGAGACACAGTGAAAAATTCAATTTTTTGAAGGTAATGTCATTGAATTGCCATACTAATTGTCCTGTTTATACATTGAATTGTTTTTTAAAGCCCATCTGTACTAGTGTACAGGAGGGATTAGACCACCCTGCAAGGTCATTGGACAGGTAGTTATCTCATCAACTCAGCTCTCAAATAACATGAGAAAAAGAGGATCATGGGGGACCAGTGGTCACAGATTAGGCATTGTTTGCTATATAGAGGGCGCAAGTACTTACAAGCAGTGCAGATGGGCTTTAATAATGTGGTTCTGTA